TAAATGTCAGAGTCAGGATGCAAACCAAGATCTGCTAGCACTCTTTTTGTGATACTATGTTGTCCCTCTATTATACTTACTCCAAGGATGATTTTATTGTCCTCCCCCAGTCCCTGCATTGGATTATAAGCTTCTTAAGGTAAAGACCACTTGTTTTTCATCTTTATGTCATGTGAACCAAACAAGGCAACTTGTACATGGCAACTATAAAATAAATATTTTTTGTATTGAAATGAATTGAGTTATTGTAAATTTAATGCAGTTGTGTTCAGTGCTCATATTTGGCAGCTAGTGGTGCAGTGGATAGAGTACTGTGCCTGGAGTCAGGGAAACATATCCTTTTGACTTCAAATCTGGTCCCAGACACTTATTAGCTGTGTGACCCTGAGCAAGTCCCTTAATTCTCTTTGTCTCAGTTTCCTCATCTGTAAAATGAGCTGGAGAAGGAAATGGCAAACCATTTCAGGATCTTTGCCAAGAAAACCCTAAATGGGATCATGGAAAGTCAGACATGACTGAAAATGACTGAACAAAAGCAACAAGGGGGTGGAGGCAGCTAGGTGGTGCAGTGGATAGAGCACCGGCCCTGGAATCAGTAGGACCTGAGTTTAAATTAGGACTTAGACATAAAACACTCACTAGTTGTGTGACCCTGGGCAAGTCATTTAACCCCAATTCCCTCACCCAAAAAACAAACAAATGAACAATAATAATAATAACAACAACAACAAAAACACTAACAAGTTCATACTTAATGCCCATCTTATATGTGACCTGATATCTGATTTGGCTTTTCACGAAAATATTGGAATTACAGAGGTACTATAAAAGAACAAGGACTCAATTTAGAGCTACAGCACCTGGGTCCAAAATCACCCTCTGGTGCTTATTACCCATTTGTCCTTTCACAAGGCACTTCATCTCTCTGGGGATCAGTTTTCTTCCCCATAAAATGAGGGGAACTGGTCGACGTGACTTCCAGCCTTCCAATGCTAACTCTATGATCTTTCTATCCTCAACTTGAGCCTTGATTCTAGTTAACTTACAACTGAAAATTAGACATTTAAGGGATTTCATGACCTAGCTACATTTTGGGGGAAACCTTTCCTTTCCTTATTTCTCCTCCCCCAATATAGCTTTAGTTTCACTGCTGACTTGGTTCCAGTGACCTCTTTCCCATTTAAGAGAAATGATTGTGAAAGAAGTCCAATTTTGCATCATTAAGTAATCTTTCTTTGCATTCCTCCCCCACCTCAAATTCCATCACCACATGTGAGATATAATAACATTTGAGTTTAAATAGTCATTTATGCAAAAAGTGGTGCATTTTTTAAGCTACAGGTAGTAACAGGCAATGGATTAGCAAATTACCTTTTTACTGAGAGTGCCAGGTGGTCTCTTTGTTAATTATCTTTTTTTTTTGTCCTTATTGATGCCCTCATATCAATGCAAAATAAAATAAAATAAGCTTTCTGCTACCCCATACTTATCAGAGAAATTTAGAAGTTGTAAATTATTGACCTGGCCCTTACCATTCTATAGGACAGTACGAAAAGTTTCTTGTAGATTTGAGCGCATGCTGAGAAAACAGTTTGAATCTTTTGTCAACCCTGCAAATTAACTTGGAATGTTTAGAAGCCTGGAAAAAATATCAAAATGTGGCATTTTAAGGGAGCAAGTTGCTAAAGTCAATCATATTTTTTTTCTCTATAAGGCTACAAATGCAGAGATAGGGTGAAGGGGTAAAGAAAGGCATGTAATAAATAGCCTTTATATAATAACATCTAGCATCTATCTAGCTATGTATCTTAAAACATTAAGAGGTGCAAAGCATTTTACAAATGCTATTTCATTTTAATCATCATGACAACTTGGCAAGATAAAGGAATATGAGCCTTAAGTTGCTTGTGTACCAAACTGGATTTACCTTTCCCAGAAGAGTTTTATTATAAAAACTGAGGTCAATGAATCCTGGAAAATATGTTTGGCCTAGGAGAGACAGAAAACTTGGATTCAAATTCTGTCTCTGTAACTACCTGTGTGATCTTAGACAAGTTATTTAAACTCTCCTTGGCTTCAGTTTCCTCATCTGTGAAATAAGGAGCTGGAGTAGAAAGTCTCTGAAATCCCTTTCAGTTGTATATCTGTGATCCTGTGAGACATCAAAAACCTGAAAGCCAAGTGTGGGCCTCTTAGAGGAATGACTAAACAAAATGTGTTACACGAATGTAAAAGAATAATTTTGTGCACCAGGTAACTGTGTAAGACTATACGTTCTGGAATAGTTCTCAAATTGCATTGGTATGTACATTTGCTACAGCAATGAAGTCACAGGTATTGGTTATGTGTATATCTATCTATGTGTGTTTGTATTGAGATATATATATATATATATATGGATATATATATATATATATATATATATATATATGTATATACATACAGGTACAGATAGTGCCATAGGGCAGCTAGGTGGTGCAGTGGATATAATGCTGGACTTGAAGACAGGAAGACTCATTCTCCTGAGTTCAAATCTGGTCTCAGACACTTACTAGCTGTGTGGCCTTGGGCAAGTCACTTAATCCTCTTTGTCTCAGTTTCCTCATCTGTAAAATAAGCTGGAGCAGGAAATGACAAACCACTCTAGTATTTTTACCAAGAAAACCCCAAATGGGGTCATGAAGAGTCAAATAAGACATAACAACACACAATACCATAAGAAATGATGAACATGAGAAATTCAGAAAACCAAGGAATACACACACACACACACACACACACACACACACACACACACACACAATAATGTAAAGGAAAACAAAACGTGAGAACTCAGTTAGGTGCTCTGAACCATCTCAGTTCCAGAGGTTTGATGGTTAAGCACACCTCCCTCTATTTGGTAAAGAGGTCCAGTGTGAGGCATGTGCTGCTGGACATGATCATTGTGTTAAATTCATCAACAAACATTTATTAAGCACCTACTATTTACCAGACAGTGTTTTAATTAAATGTGTTTCTTCATTACAAAAGAAGATGTTGCTGTGGGAGTGGTAAGATTATTGAGAGTCGACACAGATCTAAGAAAGCAAAGCATTAACAAAACATTTCATTTTTTTTCTTTAAAGAAAGAACCCTAGTTATAGAGTCTGAGGCCACAGGCTTAAGTTCTGGTTCTGTTACTTACTCTGTATGTGACTTTGAACAGGTCTTTTCCTCCCTGTGGCTTTTAATTTGTTCATCTATAAAAGGAGGTTGCACTGCAGTCACTAGATGACATTTATGGTTTCTTACAGTTTTAACTCTACTACTGACTAACTCCTCTACTATGAGATGCCAAATCAAATGGTGGTTGATTGAAAAGAAAGGCATTAAAGCCATTGAAACTACCTTTCAGTACATGTTGTTATGTTCAGTTAAACTCCTTAGTGAATGAACAAGCATTAAGTGTTTACTCTGTGCCAGGCACTATGCTAGGCACTGGGGATCCAAGTAGAATGAGTGAAACAACAAATGTATTTACAAACACATCATAAACAGAGTTGATAAATATGAGTATGTACAAAATAGCTAAATACAGGGTAGTTTGAGAGAGAGGGCCCCTGCAGTTTGGGTGATTAGGAAAGGCTTCATGCAGAAGATGATTCCTAAGCTGTACCTTAAAGGAAGAGAGGGAATGCAATGTAAGGAGGGATTATATTTTAGCCATGTGGAATGTCCAAGGATGCAAAGATATCTTTTACATCTCCTTATCCCTTGTGGAAGAATGCACCGTGCCATATACAGAGTGACTTATATAGCTGTTGAACAAATAAACAAGTAAATGAATAGATAATGTCAAAATGAACTCTTAGAAAATTTCAGAGAGGCTACTCCATATGCAAGCTTTTAAAAGACCAACAGAATGTCTAGTCCCAAGGACTAGATATAGGACTTAAGGAGTTCAGTTTGTTTCAATTCCGCAAATGTCTATGAAATACTCAATGTGTGCAAAATGCTTTGCTAGGTGCTGGAAAGTTTTACAAAAGGCACAAATATCTGCCCATATAGACCAAACACCTAAAAGGCAAGTAAAATTCACTAAGTGCCTTTTGTACTCTGGGCACTGTGCTAGGCCTGGGGATATAAAGACAAGTCTCTTTCCTTAAAGTGTTTACATTCTATTGGGAGAGTAGATAGATAGATAGATAGATAGATAGATAGATAGATAGATATAAATATATTGATATATATATATATATATATGATATATTATATAATGTTTGTCTATGTGAATATATATGCACACATTTATAATAGATACCAACACCAAATAGACAAAAATAATAATAGGTAACATAGAACTTAAAATTTACAAAGCACTTTACATATATCTTAATGCATTTGATCTGCAAAATTATACTGGTTTTTGGGGGAAAGAACTACCTACCAAAAATGTGACTTGAATTATAGAATCTTTGGTATTAGCCTGTAGCTAAAAGGAATAATGTTAGGGTAAGAATAGAGATCCTTTTCTGAAGCCCCAAATCACAGTGTGTATAGATGGCTGTGTAGGCCACCTATATACAGAAGGCCAACATTGTGTAAGCTGGTTTTATTCTTCAGTGGTCAGGAAAAGAAGCTATTGTCTACTCAAAAGCATCTGAGGTTTACTAGAACAAAACCTGCCTGGAAATATTAAGCTAGTTCCACAGCACTGACATGACTTAAGGTGGTCATTCTTTTTGGATTAGAGCTGTGGAACAATTGTGGGTCCTGTTACAAGGGGAAGAACAAAGGACTATTATAACACGGGGACACAAATCTTGCTTCATTCCAGGGCCGGCCATGTTGGAAAGCACTTTCTGCAGGCTCACACAAAAGCCTGATTGCTTCAGATGTTTACATAAATTAAAATATTGCTGCTTAATTAGGCAAGTGGGAGGCCCAAGCAACAGCGAGGGTGCCGATTGGCTTGTTTGGTGCAAAGAAGAGGTTGTTAAATCTCAGACAAATCCTAGCTTTTTCCTTCTGTATTCTGGTTTGAGGGAGGATACTTTAAGGGAAAAATAAAGAAGTTTGTGAAGCGTTGGAGAAAAATACAGTGATAGGCAGGACAATTTTCAACCTATGCTCCTGGAATTGCTAAGAAGATTCTAGGATTTTAAAGAAGGAATCAAATAACCTACCAAGGGGAGCTATTCCTTTTACTTATCCCCAAGAAGTTCCAGATTAGTTGGTCTTTACTGGAAAATCATGACAGAAGTTCCAAAGGCATCCAGTCTCACTGAGTACAATGGGGACATGTCACCTGAAAAAGAGACCACTGAAATCAGCGATGAGGTTTTCACTCCTGATGACCTCAGCAAATACCATGGCGCAGATGTAAGTCTCGAAGATTCTATCTCCAAAGGAAATCCAGAAGAAAGCAAATATTCTCAAGCAAGCATGATCTGCAGAGATTTGACTTGGTCCTTGGAAGAGAAGAATCATAGAGAAGGTAAAGTATCATTCAAATGACTTTGCTTATTTCAGTTTGAAAACTTGGGGGCACACACGCCACCTTCTTTTACACTTTGTTCGAATAGTAAAGAATGTCGTGTATATGAGAACTCAAGCAACTTTTATAGCCAGGTGATTCAGAATTTGACCACTTTTCTATGTTAACTGTGACAACATGCCTAAGGACGTCAGAGTGAATGTTTCTATAATAAGCAAGGACATTTGAAGTCAGATGAGAACTTAAATAAAATGAATTTATCGAGAAATTATTTGGAAAAGGAAATGTGACCTTTAGTCATAATAACAGAGAGCTACCTTCTTGGCGCTTTTCAGTAACTTTAGTTCCATTTTAACTGTCATAACTCTTGTTTCCTTCTTGTATCTTTCTTAAGAACAAACAGAGGAGGACAACTTTACCGTTCATAAGAGAATAGCAAGTTTCTCCCTCAAGGAAACAAGAGCTGATGAAATGACATCAGAGGAAGGTAATGAGAACTCACACGTTGTACACAATATTCTCTGACTATATTTATGGAACAGCTTTGCATGGGCTATTGGAGGGATATGTGGGTGTATGCGTGGGGGAGAAAAGCAATTTAGGAAATGCATCCAAACTCTTGAGACTGCTGGAGGCAGATAAGTCAGTCATAATTTATCAGTCAGTTCCACCTTAGAAAACATCCCAGGGAGTTCAAGACCCAGATTGCATGGATTAGCACAGCCGAACAAAATGTTCCATACTGGAGGGGTATGATATTTGTCCATTCAACTGACATTTATTTTTCATTCACAGTCTCAAAATCTGTATCATACTTCCAATGGAATGTAAATAGGTCTTTAATTTGGCTTGATCTACAAATCTAGAATTGACATGTAATTTGGAGTAACTGTATACCCATAGAATTCTGTGGAAATTTCAGGGGTTCTTGAGGATCAGCTCAAAATAGTCACATAAATCCTGTCAAATAAAAATCTTAGAATGATCAGCTTCTTTGTGGGTGGGAAGATTAAAAAAATATCACCATACCTCATATTTCAGTGCCAGGTGGGCACTGAATCCTCTAGGAGCCTCTCCTGTTTAAGCAGATATCTATATTCAAGGCATGCTCTCTTTTAAGTGCACAATAAAATCTATTAAGTAGTCTTTCACAGACCCTGACTCCCAGACACCAGCATGTTTATCTCAAAGTTGCAGGAAGCTTTTAGTGCCTAGCCAATTTATCCTAATTAATACTTAGGACCCCACAGGCAAAACACTGAATAGGCCATTTGTTGAGAAATTAGAGCCTCATTTAAAATAGAGATGTGCTAACAAGGACACGGATGTGATAGCATCTAAATGTAGCCTACCACATTTTCAGGGGTGAAGCAGCATATTATGGGCTGTCTGAGATGCTGGGAGGAGTGACATGCACCTGCCATGAACCTGAGTGATGACTGGAGACAGTGATTGTTCTTGGGAGGAGGGAAGAACTTGCACCACACTGTGGCTTAAGGAAGGAGGAGAGGCTGCAGGAAGCAGAAGCAACAGGAAGGCACACTCATCTCAGAGTTAATCTGAAGGTTTTCTATCCCCTCTAAGAGGGAAGATAGCTTGCCATGAAAAGGACTCAAGTACTTGATTATCAAGGCAATGTATCCATAGCAAAACTAATTTCTAAAGACTTTGAACTTCTGTTGAATCCACTCTTCTAGCAGATTACTCATCTTGTAGTTAACATTCTCTTCTTCATCTTCATTCTCCCAAGGTTCCAAATATTCAGGCTACTTGGATGGCAGGGAAGTCATATTTGAGAAGTGTATCTCTTTCTGAAAAGCTTTGATTGGAGAACCTCATTGGAAGCATTATATTGCTATTTATTGACTTTAACATTGGCCTAATAAAATAAGAAAGCAATATTTGGATTTGTAAACTAGGTGTGTTCTTGACATTTCTCAAATTATCTATTTTCTTTTTTAGGGGAATGCTTAGTGGTTTTAAATTCTAGAGGTATAGATTTTTTTCTATCATCTTTTCTGGGGAGAAAAGTCTATATTAGAATAAACCTGCAGAGCAATTATTGCCATAGAATTATAAATAAGAAAATGCTAAAAAATGTTCAGGAAGAATGTAATTTAAAGCCATGGAGAAACTTTCCTCATGAGGGAAAAAATCATGCTCTAGCCATTGTTATGGGAATGGTGATTTCCCCCCCAGGTATTTGGGGAGGGAGTAGGGAAATAAGATAATAAGGAATCACCCTGGAATGGGGATAATATCATAGATTTGGAGCTGATAGGGATCTCCACTTTTATCTAGTCTAACCTCTTTAGCTTTTTGACTGAATTGACCAAATCAATTGGCTGTTTTGGTATTATCTGGATACATCCCAATTATAACAGTGAAATCAGCTAAAATGTGGCTTCCCTACAATATAGTATTACTGTTTCAAGTTGAATTGGGCATTAGATGTGACTTCAGGCTAGCTGTTGTGGATGACTAAAATTATGGACTCTGTAATTTTACTCCATAGACCTTTGTACACCTGTTTCAGACTCTTGTACCCAGTTATTTTGGATTAGACAGGAAGTAATGGGGTACAGGGAGAAGAGGGCCAGCTCTACACATAGAGGATCCAAGTACAAGGTCTGCCTCTAGTACCTTCTAACCTGTGTGATTTGGGACAAGTCACTTAACCTCTCTGGGCTTCAGTTTCCTCATTTAGAAAATGAAGTGAGGGGGTTGGACTATAGATATCCACTAAGCTTCCTTCTAGCCACACCTTTATGATTTTATGATCAGTTATGAGAGGAAGAGCCAAAACTAGGGTTGGGTGAATAGGGCTTATCCATAAGGTGCTCAGTTTAGAGGTTTTTGACAGTATTTTTAGCCCTTCAGCAGATAGAAAGAAAAAAACCAAAACAAAACAAAAAACAGCTTAGCATCTTGTTAGCAAGAATAATTAGTAAAAATAGGAAGCTACCAGATGGCACGTTGGGGTTAGCTCCTTCCCTGCCTCCCTACAGCAGCCCATGGGGTTATTGAAATGTTTGTTTACTTCAAATGAATAGGGTCTTTGTCTCTCCTTCTTGGGACAGTGCTAGAATGACTTGTGGCTTTTGCACAAAATATCCTAGTTATAGCTCAAGTGGGTGTCTCTTGGTCGGGAGTCTCTGGGAATAGAAGTGTGCAAAACCAATTTAAAAATCAGTATATTTCTCCTACCCTTCCACCCCAACTAGACTTTTGAGGTACAACAGATAATAACAACTAGGTATTTTAGAGTATAGCACATCTCATCTCCCAATTGATTTTGCTACAGGACTTCAGTGGGAGAAGATTCCTTCACGTGGAAAATTCCAGGAAACAACAAGACAGAAGGAAAGTGGCACTGAGAATCTTCTAGAAGGAAGAGATGGTAGAATTAGGAAGAACGAGGAATTCCAGGTAGCAGAAACAGAAGCCAACTTGAAGTGGCTGGGATCTCAGCAACCCAGCAAAGATGGAATGATGATGTCCAAACAGGATGAGGAAATAGAGGATGGTGAGCAGGAAATAGATAATGAGAATGAGAATGGTGATGACGATGATGATGATGATGAAGATGAAGTCCGGCTGATAGAATTTAAGAAAGGAAATGGAGGAGCTTCTCACGTCAAGGAGGAAGGCAATGATGGCGAAGACTCTCCTCTGAGCAGCCCCAGTTCACATCCTGTGACACCAGAGGAACTGCCAGCCTTGGGGAAGAAGAATGATATTTCCAGACATACTTATTCAAGATACAACACAATATCCTACCGGAAAATTAAAAAGGGAAACACAAAGCAGAGAATTGATGAATTTGAGTCCATGTTGCATTTATAATTTACTTCCTCAAGACATTTCATTGCCCATGCTACTTGAGTCATCTTTTTTCTCATGTATAATTTCATAATATCTGGTGGAAGCTTAACCTCTCGTCTTTCATTTGAAAATTGGGCACAACTAGCCATAGGAAGAAAACTCCAATTTGGTCATCTTAAATCAAGCAGCATTAGATTTCTTCACTTACATAACAGGATTTATACAGTTTAAAACTTTACTAATGCATTGTCCTGTACACCAAGTGCCACAGGTGAATCTGGTAATGATCTGGCTGCATAATTGGGAAGGGTAGGAAGTGAAGTAACCAAAGGAACAAGATGGCTCTGCAAGGCTATGTCTCTGTCTTGAAGTCTTTCCAGTTGTGAATCTAAAGAGCTTGGGAAGCCCACAACTAAACTTCAGAAATTTATAGCTGTTGGATAGTTCAAATGAAGCACATTGTTTTATAGAATCATTTAAAAAATCTTCAAGGCCTCCTTCTCCTTTCCTCACATTGTCCTCCTGTGATGTGAAACTGTTAGCTTGGACTTTTGAAAAGTGAAAATTCTATATGCCCAGTCCCTTCGTGTTACCATTCATTGTGTCCCTTCACTGGAGGGGCTGAGCAGCTGTCAGCCGGGAGAGTTCCGTTTGGTAAATGTTGGTATTATGTTCACCATTGAATCCGTCTCATTGTAAGGCTGATGTATTGGGACAGGATAGAAGAGAAGTGGGCATCAGACCAAAGAGCTGCATTGAATGTTTTCACTTCTGTGGGTGTGTTTTTGTTTTGTTTATCTAGGAAATCTTTGCTAGTAGTTACATTTCTTTCAAACAAAGATGAAAATATTAGCATGATTAAAAAAAAATAAAACCCGTCTTTAGCATTGTGCCTTCGCTCATTAACATGGCCTTCAGAAATGTTCCAAGTAACTCAACTCAATTTTACTATTTACCATGACAGTGGAAATAATTACCTTAACATGTTTTTAATATGGTACCTGAGTGAATATTTTCAGTGACATTTTTCACTGATAGGTAAAGCTAATAACTGAAAGAATATTTAACTTATTAGTCTTCAGTTGCTCTATTTGCCCTCCTCAAAGTTGTGTGAGGGTGCAAGGTTTCAAATTGATCAGTAAATCAGGTGCGTATGTGTGTGTGTGTGTGTGTGTGAAAGCAGAGACCCAAAGAGCATCTCTATTAATTTGGGGCTATTTCAATCCTGGGTTTAGGGTTTTTTTTTTTTACTTGAGGCTTCAGTAAACATAATCCTGAATTTTCTGCTCCATGTAATGGCATCTCTTTTGGGGCTGCTGCTTAAAGACAGTTCCTTATTGTTTAAATGTAATACAGCTCTCATTGTTCAACAATTCAACAATTTGTTTATCTCCTTTTCAGTTTGGGAAAATCCTAGGGTTTGCTGCATATAGATTCTTGCTTATTTATGTGCAATCAACCCTGATTCATTTTGATTACATTTTTATTGAGTCCTTGTTTTAAAACAAAGATTTATGTAGCATTATGTGCATTTCGAAAAGTGGATTCAGTGACTACACAGACTAAATTGGTGACCACAATCCTCTGTTTATCCTTTAGAAGATGGCATATTCCACAAAACATTCAAATGTCCTCTTATTTCAATAATAAATATTTCCAAAAGCCTTTATTAAGCCTCTGTCAGGGTCAGGCACCCTCCAAGATGTCCCAAGATATAGGTCCTGATTTCAAGGAGATTATGATATAATGGAACTGGTGGTGAAGTCATAGGGTTACAAATTTTGAGCTATAAGGGACCTTAGAAGTTCTGATTTATAGATTTATAGCCTCAAACATAGGACGAGAGTTGGGAGTAATCAGGGAAGGCTCCATAGAGAAAGTAGCAACTGATTTGAACCTTCACAGAAATCAGAGTTCAGGGGGTCCTTTAGGACTGACTTCTGGAAATAGAATAAATAGTTTTTTGCACCTGATTTTGGGATTTCTGGGGAAAAAAAAATAACAGAACCAGACCTCCATTGACAAATCCAAGTGGAGACCTAATTAATTACATGGTAAGCTTAGGTTCTGAATTACTGCATTCAAATTCTGGGGAATAAATGATTCCCACAAATTACTATTTCACTTTTTAGCATGATATAATACTATTCTTCACGTAAAAGGGCAATGTTGCTGACCTATCATCATTAGGATATGAATATGGGCTATTCCAGTAGTAGTGATTGATTTGTATGGAACCATCCTCATATCTATCTTTGTTACCACTAGCACTTATTTGTGAAATGATGAAACTGAGTTTGTGGACATGGAACAAAACAAAACTCATATGGAAGTCTAAGTCATCACCTTGGCTTCTTTAGCTCTGTGCCCTAACCACTGAAGATAACCAGCTACAGACAATTTTATCTATTGATGTCTAAATGCAAGATGTGTGTAACTGGTGAATTTTTAATACTTCTCCAGATTAATGTGGTCTTGTGGGTGCATAGGTCATGCTATTACAAATGCTTTTCTTCTATATCACTACTCATTAAAATAGAGGAACTACTGCTATCTTTGATTAAGTCCATCACTTTTAGTGACAGTAGGTGATCAATAGGTAACTTACATGTGTTTGACTTTCTTTAGTCAGGAAACCATAATCTGGTAAGGAAGGCATCTCACTTTGAAAACCTAGAATGAAGAGAAGAAAATCTCCTCCACTTGGTCCCTTCTAGCACAAACTGCAGGAACTAGGAAGAAAAGCTCTTGGTTTCCATTGGAGAAGGAAAGCTGGCTCACCCTGGGCCTGCTGATATTTCTAATATGATTTAGAAACTGGAGCAAACATGAATTAACCACAAACAATGTTTAATTTTCTGTCAATATAAAATCTGCCTCATCAAATGCTATCATTGAAAAAAAAACAGAAAATATCATTATATTAACGATTCAAATAAAAAAATGCTTTGTTTACTCTGTATTAGATAATGTATGTATGCTTCTGAATCTAGATCTTGGTCTCTTTGCTAGCTTTTTAAGGTGTTCTATAATGAATTATCTTCTCAAACTCATCGATGATTGATAGCTAGAAAGTATTATGTTATCTCATTAAAAAATTCACATCATTTATTTTGAATAGGCTCTTTTATTTCTGTAGAATCATATAAAATTCTGAGGCTTAAAATATGTCTAGTTTATCAAATTGTAGTTTACACACATGACAGAGTCCTATTTTGTAGAAACAGTGAAAAATTATCATAGAAATAAATTTTATTCCTGATTAAAATACTTAACATCTTTCTGCTCATTGAATTAATGGATTTAAACAACATTGAAGTTTTAATACTATTCTCATATGCTCATTTGCAATTTATAATACCTTTGGACTATATTAAAATAGTTTAGTTTTTAAAGTGATGGAAGGAAAAGCATTTCAAATGAGTAATAATAGAAGTGTTTTGGGAAAAGGATAAATTACTCAACTAGCATAAAAAAGAAATATACTTGGCCATATTATTAGAGTAACATATGGGCCCACTCACTGTTCTGGAAAAATCAGATAAAATTAGAAAAGTAACAAGACTAAATAGCGAAAGGGGAACCACTGTTCAAAGAGAGAAGAGTACTGTAATAAAAATAAATATGGCAAAATGTATGTAAATGACTGGGAGAGAGCAATAGATGACTAGTCTATATAACCAATGAAGACAATGAAGATAGCAGTGATAAATATCCAAAGCTAATGCCATAGTGATTTACATGGAAAAATACAAAATCAAACACCTAAGTGTCTGCCTATTGATGGAGTAACTGGTTCATCACAGAAAATGTCTAGAATATTTGGAAATCTTTCACATTTGCGTATGCTGTGATTTATTTATGACTCAAATCACTGGGAACAAGCAAAATTGTTGATTTTGGAAATCCACAGTTCAACTTTAAACTCCCCTTTAGCCAATAGGTTTAAACTGATTACTACCTCCCTAGTCCATTGAAATGTTTACTCATTAACTGAACAAAGTTTACTCATTTGTGTCTTACCTTTTTCCTTCCCACCTTTTAGGGAAAATGAGCTATAAAATACCCTCTGAAATAAGAACATGAAAGTGTGTGTGTATGGGATGTACATTATATGGTTACATAGCTCTCTGTTTGATTCTATTCAAGGAAAGCAGCTTATCAGCTTGAATAGGGACAAGGAAAACGGGGGAGTTGGCGCCATCATCAACAGAGCAGAGTGGGGAGGTGGCTGCTTTTCCCTCCAACACCACAGAAGCTGGTGCAAAACCACCAGCTTTGAATCCATTCATAATGAAAGGAGACCAGGGAGATTTGTGCTGGCTGGAAACGGCTCAGAAGTTAGTGACCTAATAAAGGCAGGAATGTAGAACAGGAAGGTTGATCACCTGGTTTTTTGTTTTTGTCCCAACTCTCATTGGAATATCAGGCAGGGAGCATCCTGGTAGCTGAGGGAAGCCTTGTCATCACAGCTTGTGTGGAGTTTTGCTGGTGTTCCTGAAAAAGGTTTTGGGGATATAGACTAGCAATCAGGAATGGATAGAAGTGAAAAGGAATTTTCCAGTCCAAAATTCCACTGTTGGCTGTAACCAAGGAACTTAAGCATGGACTGCACAGCTATCTAATTTGGGATTAGAAAATTCCTTTGAGGAGCAGCTTGACCTTGCTCCCTCCTTCTGTATTACTATATACCAATTATTGACCAGAGAGAAGAGAAGAGTAGAGCTTATCTATAGCAACCACCTCTGTGCCCCCTCCACACATAGACTCCTACAATTACCACACATGCTTCTTTTTCTGTAGCCAGACACGATGGGGAAAAGGGAATAAAAGCCTTTACCTCTATTCTCTCCCCAAATTCCTTCTCCCACTCATCTCCCATTGCACACATATACCCACCCACCATTTCACACCTGTTGTGTAGTAGATACTGAGAATGAGGTCAGTCAATAATCATTTATTAAGTGCCTACTATGTTCCAGTGTTCCAGGCACTGTGCTATTGCTGGGCCACAAAGAAAAGGCAAAAGATAGTCCCTGCTTTAAGAAGCTCACAGTCTAATGGGGAGACAACATGAAAACAACAGCATCCAAACAAGCTATATACAGGATAAAATGGAAATATTTAATAAAGGGAAGGCACTAGAATTAAGGGGGATTAGAAAAGGCTGCTTGTAAAAGGCAGTATTTTAGCAGAAATTTGAAGGAAGGCAGGGAAGTAAGGAGGGAGAGAGTATTCCAGGCATGGGGAATAGTTAGTGAAAATGCCTGGAGTCTGAGTTTGGAGAGAGTGTGTAAGTTGAGCAACTCAGTTTATAAATGTGTAGGTATGCATGTATATGTGTATAAGAGTGTATATATAAAGGTCTATGATATTGGCCATGCTTTGGGAGTTACCCCTTAAAGTGCAGCTATATGTATGTATATGTATACAGAAATACACACATATATGTTTTATATGTATACACATACACATCTACATATAAACATGTCTATATACAGATATAATATGTATGTATATGTATACATGGGTACATATTTGTGTATACATAAACATATACACACATATATACATAAAACACACACACACACACACACACACACATATACCATTCAGGGAACTGGAAGAGAAATAAGAATTGTTGAAAGAAATAGAGACTCTACCATCTGTTCCACCCTCACTTTAATCTCTTGCATGAGTGCCCTTGGAAATCATTCCAAAATGACCAATAAATGGCATCCTCCTCTGGGTCCCTGTTCATCTCTGAAGCATCATGTTTTTAGAAATCACATTTGACTGGAATAATCAAACACCTATGCAGAAGAATGGAGAGAACTGGTTCCCTAGAATCCCTGGGGTGATGCCAGAAGTAAGACATTTTAATATCTAAGCGAACATTTCCCCAATCCAGTGACGAAACTGACAGTATGATGTGGTCCTGACATATGACTATTTGTGGCCGCCTGGATGACAACTGATTGAATGTCAGCAAGCAGAAATGAAGAGAATTGATACTGGTGAGGAAATAGGACTGCACCAACAGCAGCTGTGTCATCTTTCAGCAAATAGCTATGGGCTAATACTCTGAAAGAAGAGGGGAAATTCAGTCAGACAGCTGGGCTCCGAGCCAGCTGTGAAAATTGCTGAGGTAAGTTACGATTATTCCCACCAGGCTTTAGTCCTCTTGCTCCAGGCAACGTATGTACAAGAGTCTTTTTGAGAAAATCCAAGAATGAATCCATGAGTCAGGTACTGCACTGAAATCTTCCCGGAATAAGTCAGGTTCACTTCATACCTCATCTAGTACATTTGTTTATTCCTGGAAATATACAGAAGGTCTCACTCTAAAACTGTGCTCCGCACAGCCCCCTTAAAAGACAAAGTTATGAGTTATCACAGTCATTTTTTGAAAATCTTCAGGTACTCGTGTAGACTCTGCTACCAGTCCCTGCTGCATTGTATACAGTAGAGGGTAGTGGACCACCTGAACTTGGAAGTTTGGACCTGCAGTGGGTTAAGTCACTTGAGAGTCTGCAGTATCCAGTTTTAATATGGTGAGATTTGGGGAGGAGGAGGGCAGCAGGCTGACTGTGGAGGGGTAAACACATCAGCAACTAAGCAGATCAGAGATCCTACTCAGCCAATAGGGGAAATTGGGTGCATGAGTGGCTGCTATATACTTGTCTACTGAGCAAGATAGAGAGACCCAATCTCAAAAAAACAACACAACACAAAACAAAAACAAACAAAAAGGGAAAAGAAAAGAAAGGGAAAAAAAAGAGAAAAATCTAGAGGTTGTGGAAGCTTAGGTGTCAATGTCACTGGCACCAAGGTTAGGTACACGAAGGTTACTAACCACTGATTTTGTTGCTGTTATTGACCCTCTCTCTGAAACAGATCAACAAGGGCCATGTCTGGGAGGAGCTAAGCTGTAGGACTCTGGGACCATGCAACTTTACCATTATCATTTTTATTCTGGTATCATACCTCCTTTCCCTCCATTTTAATCAAATAAATATTACTGTTGTTTCTGGAAAGACCCTGTCAATTTACTGCCTTGCTATATCACTCAGCCATTCATTTGTCAAGTGTTTATTAATTGCTTAGTCTGTGCCAGGAATTGGAAATATAAAGAAAGGCAACAAACCCTGTCTTCGAGGAACTTTTTTTTTTTGGCTAGGCAATGGGGTTAAGTGACTTGTCCAGGGTCACACAGCTAGTGAATGACAAGTGTCTGAGGCTGGAATTGAACTCAGGTCTTCCTGAATTCAGGGCCAATGCTCTAGCCACTGAGCCATCTAGCTGCTCCAGAACAGACATTCTAATGGAGGAAGCAAACATACAAATAACTAGATGCATAGAGGCTATATATATTCAGAGTAGATAGAAAAGTAATCTTAAAGATGGCACTAGTAGCTGGGAGAACCCAGGCCTTGCATAAAAGGTAGAATTTAAGTTCAGTCTTGAGAGAAGCCAGGGAAAGTAGGAGGTGGAGGTAAGGAGGAAGAGTATCCCGGATGTGGAAGAAAATCCATTCAAAGGACAGAGATAGGAAATGGAGCATTTTATGCAGCAAGCAGGCAAGAATGGCTGGATTATAGTGTGCTGTGGAGAAGAGTAAAGTTGAAAGGTAGGAAGGGGGCAGGTTGTGAAGAACTTTAAAAGCCAAATGGAGAACTATGTTTGAATCTGGAGGTCAAAGAGATCCACTAGACTTTACTGAGTTGGAGGGGTTGACGTCATCAAACCAACCCTTTAGGAAAATCCCATTAGAAACTGAGTAGTGGATAGATTGGAGTGAGGAAAGACATGGGATGGGGAGACTAATTAGAAGCCTATTGCAATAGTCCAAGTGAGAAGTGATAACAAGCACCAGGATGGTTGATTGTGTGAATAGAGAGAAGGGGACCTATGGGAAAGACAATGTGAAAACAGAAATGACAAGATTTAGCAACATATATTCAGGGTGAGGGTGAGTGAGGAGTCAGGATAAACCTGGGTGACTAGGAAAGGATGATGGTATCTTCCACAGTGATAGAAAAGTTGGAAAGAGGGGGAAATTTGAAGACAAAAATCATGAGTTCTGTTTTGGACATGTTGAATTTGAGATGTCTAAAAGGTATGTGGTGATGTGGGACTGGAGATCAGGAGACAGACTAGAGCTGAATATATATTCATCTTCACCTAGGAATCATCTATAAGGACATGATAATGAAATCTTTGACAGTTCATGAGATCACCAAGCAAGGTAGAATAGAGGGAAAAGAGAGGAGGTCCCAGGACAATTTGGTGGATATCCAGAGTTTGTGGGTATGACTTGAATAAAGATCCAGCAAAGGAGACTGAGGGACACTCAGAAAGGAAGGAGGAGAACCAAGAGAAAGCCGTGTCAGAAAAACCTAGAAGGGAAAGAATATTCAAGAGAAGAAGGTGATCAACAATATTAAAGGTTGTAGAGGTCAAGCAGTATGAAAATTGAAAAAAGGCCATTGAATTTAACAATTAAGAAGTCATTAGTAATGTTGGAGATAACAGTCGTTTGTTAAATAATAAGGTTCAGAAACCAAAGCAGAGTATTAAAAAAAGAGAATAAAAGGATAGGAAGTGGAAGCACCTATGTAGATGGATTTCTCAGGAGTTTAGCAGAGAAGAGATATTTGTCAAGAGCTAGCAAGAGTGGTCAGATCAAGGGAAGAGGTGTTTTTTTTTCCCTTTTTAGGATAGAAGAGACATAAGTGTATTTGTAGGCAATAAAAAAGGAACCGGTTGAAAGGAGGAGAGAGGGAGGGTCGGTGGGAATCACAGTTGGAGGAATATGTTGCAGAAGACAGGAGGGGATGGGATCAATGGTGCTTGTGGAGGGGGTGGCCTTGACTACAGAGAGCAGTGCCTCTTCATCTGAAACAAGACTGAAGGAGGAGATAGTTGGGGAAGATATGTGAGTGACGTAAGGCAGGGAGGAGGGAAAGGAAGAACATCTCCATGAAAAGCCTTAATTTTTTTCAGTGAAATATGAGAGGAGTTCCTCAGGAAAGAGGAGGAGATGATACCATAGGAAGTTTGAGGAAACACAAGGTTTGGAGCAGCAGCTATGGAGAGTGGGATAACCAATTGATTAGGGAAAAACAGAACATTTGCCTTAATGCAATGAGAGCCCAGTTGACATTAGTTAAAATAAATTTATAGTGGATCCACTCACCATCTTTATGGATTCTCTTCCTGGCCCCCACTCCCCTTCATGTACTGTCTTCCCTATAATAATATAAGCTCCTTAAGTATAAGGAGTGTCTTGATTTTGCAGTCATATTCCTGATACTTAGCAGAGTACTAAGTCTTTTGTAAGTACTTAAATGTTTTTCATTAACAGAACTACTGAGCAGGATTGGAACAAAAATGTTTTGTTAGACTCTAAAGCATATGAAAGAACAAATACAAGATGTATTTAAAAATCTCTTACAACATACTAATTTGGCTTCAATATATCTTTCTGTAGTAAATATGTTAAGGTAAAGTCAGGAATAAAACTGATTACATGGGAGAAAATTCCTTTGTGCAAAATATGCAGACATCTCAGGCTGGGCTTCCTGCTGGTTGGTTCTATTATCATAATTCAAGTCCTTCTAAGAATGAAGTTGCATTTTCCTTGAGAAGTCTACTTTTGTCTACGAAGTAAAGTCCTTTAGGCTGAAGCAACAATAATAGCTTGAAACATTTCACAGTTGACTTGAGGTGGCCCAAAGATGAGAGGCACCCAGGCAATGTGTTCAGTTTGGTCAGTAACTCAGAGATTCTTTCGGTGACTGGCATGAACTTTCTCCATATGGCTTTGTGTTTGGAGATGAGTTTTCTTATTTTCCACCTCTTGTCTGTGATTTCAGCTACAATGTTGATTATTTGAACAAAGTGTTCTATGAAGTACTGAGGAAAGCTGACTTCTCTGTCCATCCTTGCCTCAGCACTTTTATGCAGCTATTTTAATAAGTGAGTCAGATCTAAAGATGCTAGTTTTACTCTCAACTCAGCATGCATGCAAATCTAAACCCAGAGCCATAACTAGGAATTTTTGTGCCCTGAACAAGTGCTGCAAGAGTGAGCAAGAGGGATAGGCAAAGAAGATGGATAGGTAGAGGGCAGGAGAAGCACACCACAGATTCACTTGGTAGCTTACTATTTCAACAATTCTTGCTGTTAAGGGGAAAAGATCTCTTGTTTCTATGCTGCTAGTAGACTGCAAGCACTGTTCATTCTCTATAAATTCAGTGCTCTGGGAAATAGCCCAAATTGTCCTATCCTAGTTATATCTCTGATCCAAACAATGGCAGAGCATCATCAGTCTAAACGCAGCCTGGTTTCCCCTATACCTCCTAAAAGTTTATGTAACTCTTGCAAAAATTCTGATATGGTAATTTATAGTATAGTATAGTAGCACCTTGTTCTGTAATCCTCCTAGGGAGGCAGTATATACAGAGTACTGGATCTGGCTCTATCCACTAATTCTTTGACAGTGGGCAAGTTCAGTTCCATTTCTGAACCTCAGTTTCATCAGTAAAACAGAAAGGTTGAACTCTGAGTCTTTTTCTGTGATCACATAATGTGGAGGGAATAGGTATGTGGGGACAAAGAGAACACAGAAACACATATCGGGAGGACAAGAAGAATGCAAATATTCTAGCTTTCTGTTTAATAGTGTTAGAAATGTACCATGTGCCACTATGTCCATAGAGGACATAATTTAATACATAATTGTGGTGAGTTGCTCTACAATAGAGTTTTACTCTCTTTAACAGTGTCTATTTAACTGTCTTCAGGCACAGTTGGGTTGTCTATTTTAAGATCTGTATGTTTTACCCTGATTTAAAAACTTTTCTATTCCTGTAAATCAAAAGTATCAAAAGTACAGTAGAACTTTTTTTGTACTCCATACAAAATATAGGAATACCTGAGAAGTCCAGAGGCTCAATTTTGAAAAAAAAATAAGTATTTCATATGTTGTTAGCATTATCAAAATCTCCTGAGCAAGTGTTTTGCTCCTATCACCCATAGACTCATGATTTTTCTTTGTCTGGTTCCTGAGTGATGATTAATCCATTCTCTTCCATCTTATTCCCTTTACTCCACATGCATTATGGATTTTAAAGAGTTGATTACTCCTCACCCTTCTGTGTATTTGTGAGTCATATTGGATTTCCAATTTCGGAGTCATTTTCAAGGTTTTGGGGAGAAGTTTTATCTTTATTTTTGGTAAAATAATCTTTTTGTTTTAGAGTTCTATTTTGTTTCCTTTGTTTCAGGTCTCTCTCCACTGCCTACCTTGGTCCCATACTATATTTTGATTTTATGCCTGAATTTCTTACTTCTAAAATGTGTTGTAACCCAATGTGGAATTGTAGTCCCAGAAGTGGAAGGTTCTTCTAGATTGGCTCTCTTTAATTCTTATTGCGAGATCTTTAGTTCTTTTAAACCCATACTAGCCAAAAGAGGTATGATGCAAACTTTGAAAAGCAAAGAGGAGGAGTAAGGCACTTCAAGCTAGAGGTTGGTTAAACATATGAAGATCTCTTCTTTGCCACTAGTATCAGAGACTCATGGCCTAAGAAAGGATTATGCAAAGCTAACCAGTCCACTTGCTTTCACATAAAACCACCCTTAAAGCATTTCAGATTGATATAAACATCTGAGGTCATATCAGCTTGAGAAACTCAGGTGATAAAGCAATTTTTGTTTAAAGAATGCAGTCAGAAGTAAAGGCCAGGCTATTATTAATAATCTTTGGTTATCATCAAATGCCCTCACAGTACTACCATGCTTACCAAATGATTTTTCATAGTACCGTGGATTTCCTCCTCAGTTAATTCTGGGACTAAATCTAATAATGCACAAATCTTGATAAGTTTGTGGAGGGAGATGATGAAGTTCTAGCACAGTTGAGTAAGAAAGACAAATTCAGTGTTGTCAAATGCTGAAGCAGGGCCCCAGTCCAAAGTTGGGAAACAGTCCCCTGAGTTACATTAAATTAAATGACACCACCTTGATGTAGCTTCAGACTTTCTTTCTCAAGTGCCATTAGTGTTGAAATCATCACTGAATAATGTGACATCATTTGAAATCCTTGTCCCAATGTCTAGTGACCCTCACTAGATGAGAAAATCATGGTTTGGCTCTGATTATCTCCCTTTTCAGGCTACATAGTATTTTTCAAATTTCCATTTCTGATATGGATTCATGGAATCACAGGCAGTTGCCTTTAGAGTCTTTCCAGAAGGGCTTGCCTCCAAGCACCTCAGCTGCTTCCAGTGTTCAAGAATAAGGTGATCCATCTAAAAAGAAAGAGGATATGGGAATGAGTCACCGAATTCAGTTCAGCAGTCAATATTTACATGGAACTGGAACAAGAAATCAAAACAACAAGTCATGAGCTTTATCATTCCTTAATATTTCCCCTATCTACTGTTCACGTGACAAATGCATGGTCTTTAAAAAATATGTATTTGTAAAAGGCTGTGCAGTGTCTCTCTATCTTGGATCTAAGCTAGCTCACCTCTGTCAAGTTACATGAGAAGGAAAAGAACAATTCTTTGGTGGTGTGAATGGTAGTTAGCGTCTTCAAAGAAAATTATTATAAATGAGGTCTCATGTAGAGAATATGGCAAAATCCTTTAGTTGATGGCAACAAAATAAAAGAGAAGCTATTAATTTGTTAATTAAATCCATGCATTAGGATTCTATTTATAAAATGTTAAAAGAGGATGAAGGGAAGCAGCATGGTGTAAGAAGAAAGTGCCATAGCTTTAGAATGAGAGGACCTGGGTTCAAATCCCACCTCTGGCACTACCTATGTGACCTTGTGCAAATCACTTAACCCCTTTGGGTCTCAGGTTCTGTCTACATCTGTAAAAAAGAGGGGTTTGGACTAAATAGTGTCTGAGGTCTCTTTAAACTCTGTGCTTATGATCCTATAAGTATTTGAACTATTATGTTTCTATTGCAGTCTCTGGCAATCTACATGTTGACATGCTCATTAGGTAAATCTGATAGAACTGAGGTGAACTCTCTCCTCAAATATGGTAGATACTCTATCCAGTCCTTGCCTTTGGGTTTATGCTTTTCAGACTATAACTTCCTCTCAATTATCCATGATAATTGCAAGTGGGATCCAAAGGTGCTCATATTTGGTTTTGAAATGCTCTATAATATTTGATTCTTCTTTACCTTCCTAATTATGTCTTTTAAAGATAATTATTTATGATTAATTTACATTATCTGAGTATACGCTGGCTGGAGGTTGGTGGGAAAGAAGTGGTATAGGAATGTATTCATTGGTGTGTGAGAAAGTTAATCTATGGTATAATGATATAAAACAAAATCCCCATGGACAGTCCAGATCAGATGTCCTACATGTTGATATTCAAGAACTGATTGTCCAAGTATTCCTCACTTTACCAACACTCAACTTATGCCCAATCCATGTATACATTCAGGGTGGGAGCATAGAGTCTTAATGCCCACTCTGGAGACAACTTCAACTTTTCTTCCACTATTCACAACAACCCAATGACCAAGGGAGATGCCTTCTTTATGCTGTCTTAGAGTGGCGCCTTCTCTTACATCATGTAACAGAGTTAATAAGTTAATAGTGCTCAGGATGTTATAGCCCAATAGTACTCTGTGCCTAGATGCCAATGAAAACAATTCCTCTTTGGAACTCAAGGGAAAAAAATTCCTAATGAAACAATTGTGTTTTTGGCAATCCTATTTGGGATTTGGAAAAAATTCTATTAGAAACAAAGTTGTAAATAGTCATTAAATAAAGGTGCAATAGAAATCTACTTTAAGCTAATCTTGTGTTAATATGGCCTTTGTGGGCTGGCCTGGAAATAGAGGCAGTATACTTGAAATAGGGAAGGCTTGGGTTTATATCCTGCCTCAGATACTTCCCAACTGTATGACCCTGGACAAGTCAAGAAAGCTCACTGGGCCTGTTTCCTCATCTGTAAAAAAGAAAGGGTTGGACTCCATGACCTCTATGATCTGCTTCTGTTCTAAAATGATGATTCTATCATCATAATCACCATTTATGGCATTGTTTCTGCAAGAAGGAGTAGTCAGAGATCTAAAAGACTCCCTATAAATACAGTCTTTCAGAACATAATTTGGACACGAGTTGGCGATGGTCCACCTTAGAAAAAAATTTGTTCCCCTTTATTCTTGATTTCTCATGGGGTCAGGGACATTTTTATTATCATTTAGAAAATAAGCCAAGACCTCTCCCAAACTGTCACTTTTTTCTCGGTGAGTCATTGCAGGCAGAGTAAAATTGTAATAGGCCGTTTGCAGGTATATTTTTGAAATACCTAACAGTAACTGTTCATCAAGGGTCAATGACCTTTTAAAAAATAAAGTACCAAGGTTATGACTCCTTTCCTTCTGGTGTGAAAGGGTAGTGGAGGGAGCTGCTGCACATGCTCTGACTTTTAGGATTACATGGCTTACTAAAGGTCATATCACAGGTCACTGGATGCATGCATACTATCATTTTTAGTCTCTGAGTTTTTGGTGGGTTGCTTGCTTTGTCATTTGGCTCAATTTTACTGTATCAGCCACCAAAGCCTCACTGTGTTCTAGTTTCTGGTTTGTTTTGCTGGTATTTGGCCTGGGGTTTTCAGTCTGCAAATTTATGTCCTTGACTCGATCTTCATGTTAGGAAGGGGAAAACTATTAGCTCTTATGTGATCATGATGACCCTTTAGTGTGCTATTATTATAGGTGGATTTTTAAGAAGAAATGGGACTAGAGAAAGGCATTTGCCACATGTAAAGATCACTATAAGAGCTTTAAAAATTTAAATGTCATATTGCCACTATTAAAAAATATTCCACATTTTTCTACAAAAAGAGAGAGAGAGAGAACTTTTGTTCATATGTTCATATGTTAAGATGCCATATTTTATATGTTATCACAGCAATGACTAGAGTAGGGCCAAAGAACTTTGTTTCAGGCTTTTTAAAATTTGAGGATACAAACATTTAACATAGGATTTCTTTAGGAGCTAGAAACAGTCACTTACTAATTAGGAGCTGAGTACCTAGCTGACAAAAAAAACCCAATGAGTTAAAATAGGAAGCTACTAAAATATGCACATTATTAATAGTGTCAACCTCTGAATCATGATAGAAACTAATTGTTGTTTCTGCTACTTCTGTTAATTTTACATAATGAATTGAAAAGATGTCATAAAGGCCATTTAGTGCTGCTTGCCCAAGGCACCAAAATTGATACTTATAGTCCTGATGCATATATTCATCTCATAGCCCTATATCTTAGAGGAAGAGTAATGTTATTTGGAATTCTATTCCAGACCACACAGTTGTGGAGCATATTATATCTTTATTAAAGGTACAAGAGATATAGTGAAGGCCTGGATTCAAATCCTACCTGTGATACTCACAGCCTGTATGACCTTGAGCAAGTCACTTAACCTCCATTTAGATTAGATTGCCTCTGAGTTCCCTTTAAGGTTTAGCTCTTTTATGTTGGCCCCAAATCAGAGGACATGTCAGAAGATAACTTACTTTCTTTTCTTCTCTATCATAAATTCTAAATTGGTAAGATTACTTCCTCTTGAGGTTCCCATCATTTCTACAGCCACAACCAATTTCTCTTTATTTATTAGAATTATTTTCAGAAAAGCACCTCATCTTATCACTCAGGCTACTTTTGAAAGGGCTAAGACAAGAAATAAAACCCCAGGTTCAGCTAGAAGCCTTTCCTGCTCCCCTTAATGCTGATGCTTTCCTGCTAAAATTTTCAATTTGTCCTATCTATATCTTGTTTGTAAATAGGCTTTTTTTTTTGTCTATTGCCTCCCCCAATAGACTGTGAGCCACTTGAGAGTGGGGACTGTTATTTGCCTTTCTTGTATCCTGAGTGCTTAGTGTAGTGCTTGGTGCATAGTAGGCACTTAATAATTGCTTGTAGACTTGAGGAAGGGCATCATACCATTGATATCTGGTCATTTGAAGTCCCCCACTATATCTCTTGTACCTTTAGTAAAGATATAGTATGCTCCACAACTGTGTGGTCTGGAATAGAATTCCAAATAACATTACTCTTCCTCTAAGATATAGGGCTATGAGATGAATATATGCATCAGAACGATAAGTATCAATTTTGGTGCCTTGGGCAAGCAGCACTAAATGGCCTTTATGACATCTTTTCAATTCATTATGTAAAATTAACTGAAATAGCAGGAACAACAATTAGTTTCTTAACTTTCATGCGAGAATTGAATTCTGTTTCCCAAATTCTTCACCTATTTCCTCCTTCCCTTCTGGTGGTCTGTAGTATACTCACATGACAGTATTCCTTCTACTTTTCCCTTCTTTGTTCTTCACACCAATGCTGTCAGCTATATTTACCATACCATTCCTGGATTTGCCCATGTGAATGTATACTTTTAATAAAGATGTAATGAATATCCATGACACCCTTTATCTCTTCTGTTCCTATTGAATGTGGCATACTATTTCATAGCTACGTTCCAATCATGCATCCCGTTCCAACATTCAAATTCCTATGAGGTTGCATTTCTTTCCTTGCATTAAGATCTCCAGTTCACCTTGCCTATAATACAATTAAATTCATCAGCATATAGACATCATAGGTCAGGGGTTTTATTGCTGGCTATAGGTTTTATTACTGACTATCTTCTTTGATATTGTCTCTTGTAAATTATTGGTTCTATCTACTGATATTATTTTTTCCTATATTCTACCTGCTACTCTTTGTGGAAAATATGTGGGCAGTTTTCTCCCTTCCTTTCCATTTCAGTCTAAAGACTTCAGATTTACAAGACCCGAGACAAATTTTTATTTACCCTTCTTAATTATACTTCACCTCTGGTCAAGAATTAAGCATTCTTATATTTTAAGCTTTAATGCAGAAAGGTTCCAGACATCAGCTTACCCAACTTCTCACTTCTCAAATTTACCTTTCTGTTATGAAATCCTTTCTTTTAATTGGAAGCAATGATGAAAATGACATCTATACTTTTAAAATACTAAGTTTCATGCTCAGAATAAATTCTTGGTGCCTTCTGGCATTATCATTCATGCCCACATGAATCACCAGAAGTGGGTAGTGGTTGTCAGTTTTGACAAGTCTTGGGAGGTTCTCAGTCATATTCTGGATACATTGCCCAAATACGGTAGATTTCTCAATATTTTTGTCAGATTAACCAGTATATAATTTTACACTCCTCAGAAGGGAGTCACCAGCCACTACTATCATTGCTTTTTATTTTAAACTATTAAAAGTTTTCCTCTCTCCTTATGGCTTCTGTGAATCCACATCATTCTTTGGAGTATAAGAAGCTGTCTCAGAGGGTATAATTTCTTCCTCTTGGAAAAAAACCTCATATCTATTATTTAGTTCCAAGCATTCAGTAACCTTTCTCCCTGTTTCTTCATATCACATTGTTTCACCCTTAACCTTTTGACATAGATGAAAATTCCTTTCTGCTTCTTCAGCTCCTTTTATCATCTTTACTTTACCTTGAAGCATTTCCTTTATTTTTTCCAGGAGCTTTTCATTTTCTCTGCTTTCTTAAAGGGGGAAAGGCATCATCCTTCCCTTTTACCTCCTTCTCCAGAAGAAAGACTTATCTGCACTTTGTGCAAAATGTCTCTTATGCGTGACAGGTCAAAAGTAAAAATACTACGATGTCTAAAGGTTATTGCAAAATTCCCTTTGCATTTTATGCCTGCTGGAAGCGAGATCATTAGTTTCCTGTAATTCTTGCTGGTAGCTGTCATAGACAGCTCTTATGGCAAACTGATCATTTGCCCTACCTCTTTGCTTTGTTGGGCCTCCTGTGAGGCTTTATATATTTGGAGTGGATTTCCAAATTTTTCTTGCTATATGCTTCTTGACCACAGTTCTTTCTGACCAGTGACTTGTTTAAGGTTACATAGCCAGCAAACTGTAGGGGTAGACATTTATCCTAGGTTCCTGGACTTTTCTTATTCTTTCCATTAAATTAGGGATTCTTAAAACCTCTTTTTGTGTCATGGACCTCTGGCATTCTGATGAAAGTTACGGACTCCTTTTCAGGATAATGTTTTAAATGTAGAAAATAAAATGCTTAAGATTCCAAAGGAAATAACTTGTAGTGAAAACAGAGATGCAATTGTTTTCCATCCAACATCACAGACCTCCTGAAATCCATCCACAGACCATCCTTTAGGGGATTCCAGTGACCACACATTAAGAACTTTTGCATTTAATGTCTCCTTTCTTTCATCAGGGAATTTGGACCAACGATCTGAAGGTATAAAAGTTGTGCTTGTGAAGAAGGAGGCTTTGAAAAGGGTAGGTGCCTTAGTATATCCAGCCCTATTTGAAGGTAGGTATCCTAAGTCATGTGTTTCCTGTTCCCTTGGGCTGCCGAAAGTTCAATCTATTTTCAAATATCTTTTGCCACTATCTTGCCATGGTACCTGAAATCCTTGTCATTTATATAATTTTTACCCTCTTTCTGGAGACATGTACATTTTTTTTATGTAAGTCATGATGCTGCATATATAAACCAAACAATTTCAAGTATCTACTATTTTTCTAACACTCCACTAGCTAAAATCACCCAGCTCACACATTAGCAGGGATAAATTTGTCTGATTAACTCAGTAAAACTTCTTGTCATCCTCACATAGAGTAGGATCTTAAGTAAGGAGAAGATATCTTCCCACCTTCCTTTGGCTCCCCCTGTATGGTATCCCATCAGCCCAGGACAGCATGCTTTATTCCTTTCCCTATTTTAACCCTCATCCTTCACTCCTTCAGTTCTATATCCTATTTCCTTATAGCCCTTGTCAGTTCTAAGTGAGAAGTCTGTGATAATGGACAAACCTCACAAAATAATACCTAATAATGAACTAGCCATACAAAATAATTCCAAATAGTGTGGTAGATGTCATGATATAGTAGAGAGAACACAAGACCGGAAGTCAGAAGACCTAGATTCTAGTTCTAGCTGTGCCAATAACTAGGTGTCTAATTGACTGGCGAGGGCCTCAGTTTCTCTCTGGGCCTCAGTTTCCTCATCTGTAAAATGAGAGGGTTGAATTAGATGATCCTTAAGGACCCATAGATCTCTGAAATTCTATATGATTTTTGAAATGAGGGAAAATCAGGAATAGATTTGCCCAGCTACAGTATGACATCACAGTAGACAGCTGGAAGATTTCGTGAATAGAATGGATATTTGGCAAGGGCATCAAAAGGAGTGGGTGAGTACAAAAGACAAATTTTTCCAACTTGAAAATTTTGTCTAGAGCTGGCCCGGTCTTCTCTGTCTTCAGGAAGGCCTTAAACACAGAGTGAAGACATGGTTGACTACAAACACGATTTTAGGAATATCAAGAAATTTCCTCCTTCACCCCCCCACCTCCTCCCAAGTAAGAGTCTTGACATTCCATCACTAAGAATTATTTCTTTGATTTATAGCTTTGTCCCCTGTTACCATGCAATATTAGAAGAAGTAATATGTGAAACCTGACCAGATATTTGTATTGACACTTAATGTGCATGTGTATATCTGATACTACTCAGTAAAAGAAGAATGGGGAGAGGGCATGAGAGCCCTAGGTACCAGAGGAAGGCTAAATAAGAATAAGAACAACAATGAGTACTAAAGTGGAGGCTGGCCAGCTCCACTCACTTCCTAACTTAGTGTAGAGATGGCCCCTGAGTGTCTTAGATTATCCAAACACTGCCTCTAAGGGTCATCTTAGAAAAAGTGAAGCCTCTGTTCCAACCTATCAGCTCCAGTATTGATGCTGTTATTGACCAAGAGAAACAAAGATGATTGGAAACAAAGATATGACTGATGGAACCTAGCTGCAGCTGGAATAATGGGTTTTCTCTGGAGAACTTAATGGGAAGAGGGGAAAGGACTAAAGCAACCATTAAAAGTGTATATATTTGCCTCTCTCAATGAATCTTTATGGAGCCTCCATTATTATCAAATAAATGTAAACCACATGAGGCTTGCAATAGGGACTCCATGTTTGATTTTATTGAAAGCTGAACAAGTTTTATAAAATAGACATTACCATTCTACTTACCTGTTCGGGATGAAGGACTCCCATCAATTTATGTAGCCATTTCAGCTTTTTGTTGTGGATATCACAAGGGTACAGACTCAGGTTTCTTACAACAGGCACAGGAGCTAAGCACCTGTCTCCCTGTTTAATAAGTTTTAACCAAGTATAGTTGAATTGTTGGGACTGTGGGAATAATGAGTAGATTATCATCAGAAATAATCACCATCACCAGAAAGTTTGTTTTGTTCACCTACCCACTCCTCAATACAACTGGCTCCTATTTGCACATGGGTAACATAAAGGCATGCCCTGTTAAATGTTTATACCATCACATGAAATTTCCCAATGCCTGGATTCTTCCCTAGCCCCACCCTCATTTGTACCAAGTATTCCAGTGACTATGTATCAGGTGTTAGGGAGCAGTACCAGTTTAAAGAAATATCGTCCTGGGATAGAGGTTCATCTTTTCAATTCTGATTATACGTTTTACCTGCCACCTGCCTGTTCAGATTCCTAGGGCTCTGGCTTGTGCTAATTTGCATGGCTAGGAAGGGATGAATTTACATGCTACAGGCTCTGACTCTTCCAGAACTCTTTCCTAGCTCTAGCAGCCTATGACTCTAAAGCAGGCCAGTGACCAGCTGCTGCCAAAGCTTTGGCTTCACTTCTGTATGCCCCAAAGAGCTTCAGTAAGGGAGCTATCTATTTCAGTAGATTGTGTGGTGTGAGCAAGAAGAGGAACTGTCTAGTAAGGCTATAGGTTAGTGGAAAAGGGGGATTGTTTTCAGCCTCATGGACAGAAAGAAAGGGGATTTTGGATGATGTGAATCTAACATATTCTTAGGATTTCCATGATTCATCATGCTCTTGAATTTGTTGTGGCCAGAATATAGCAGTTAGTTCATCAAGGGTCACATTGGGCATAGGTCAATCGTGATGACTTTGCAAAATTTTCCTCTTCTACTTTGATAAGTAAGAGCTGCTTGCAAACTGCTTCCTCTGGTTTCTTATTCCTTTTGTCCATCTCTTAGATCACCCTCCCAAATCATAACCCTCTCCAATTAGAGAAGAGAGATCACAACCCAAGGCCCTTCTTTCCCAGATTCCATGAGGAGCAACCTGAAGTTGGATCATAGTCTTTGTTTTGAGAAATGGGAATAGGTAGAGCCTTACATAGGAATTTTTTCATCCCAGAGCAAGTGCCATAAACCTAGAGCAAATGGCTCAAATTGCACCCTCAGTTGATTGGGGTGGGATGGGGAGGGAAAGGAGTCAGAATTCCTTTGGGATACCTACAAAAGGCTGACACTTGGGAAGCCATCAGAGAGGACCAGAGAGAGACAGGAAAGTAGCTCTCTCTAACCATCTGGTAGCATTCTCTTTTATCTGGTTTATTTTGCTAATTCAGTTCTGAACTCTGTTGTTTCTTTTAAAGGCTAATTGTCAGTTCCTTCTAAATTTGGTGCCCTGGAGAAAAGCCCCAATCATCCTGCCTTAGTCTTTGTTCTGCACATAGTTTATGATCCTGAAATTCTAAACATTTTTAGATTTAAATTTGAGAGGGGGTATATTGAAAATAGAAATAATTTGGTCTGAGAATCTTGCATTGGGAAAATTATTTCATGTTTTTGGAGCCAAAAACTTTCTAAAGACCTGATTTCACACATGTTCCTTCTTCCCATTTCTACCTGTGGATCGAGGGTTATTCCAGTTTATTCCTAGTTAGCTGCTCATTCTGCTTACTTAGCAACATAGAGCAAAATTATTATTAGAGTCACCTAGCTGGCTGTGTTGGGGACAGGGAAAAGAGACTGTTCAAAGTTTCCACCACAATCGAGAGAGTTCTTGACCTTTCTCTAGCCCATATTTCATTTGGCAGAGTTTATAGTAGGGGATCTCCATCATGACTCAGGGTCTGGGATTTTCTTAACATTCCTAAGGCAAGGGCATGGAGGGAATCACAACTGTGTGTCAGTGGTTGGGACATGAGGTTTTCTCGGCTGCTAAGGAGCCCACTTGTGACCCGGTGATGTGATCAAAGTGGCTATGACCTTTGACAGGAGTCACAGGCTTGGTATATGCACACATGGTTCCTATGGTGGATGGAAAGCCAATGATTCATTTCTCTAAATGAGTGAAGGGCCACAGTCTTAACCCCATAAGTCTAAGTAAGCATTATAGAAAACCCTGTTACAACATACCTTGCTACCGACATCACACTCTTCCAGAACAGCTGTGGTGTTCTCAAGAGAAATGCATTTGCCCAAGGCTACGTTAATTATCTGGAAAACAAAACTTAACTGTGAATTTAGAAATATCAGTCCATAGTGGAGTACAGACCTGTGAGTGCCACAAGAAAACACCTGGAGTATAGCCTTGCAATGAGGCTAACAGGTAGCTAAATGAATTGTTTAGCACTATATGTTTTGACTGAGCAGAGATGTAATATAATCTAGCCAAAGTACAGCTGCAATCTGTTAACTTAAGCTTGGTGTGATTCAGCCCCAGAGCCTGCAAACAGAAGCTTTTAATTAACCCTTGCCTGAGACATAGAAGAGAGCATGGGCAAAAGGCAGGATGGAAAATGTATTTTTCCAAATACAATTCCTCCACTGCATACATTAAAGGTCCCCACACAGACTCAGAATGTTAGCCAAACCGAGACTTACAGGTATGAGAACAATGTGCCCTGGTTGATCTCTTTCTACCATTTGACCTGCTTGGATACTGATTCATAATGGAATCAGTTCCTCTCACCTGACAGCGAAAGACAGAGGATTCCAAGTCAGTCTCTTCCTAATGTCTCAAGTAAAGCTAATACAGGAGAAAGCCCTAAGTCACCTCCTTGGCAGGTCTCTAGCTTGAGAATAGATTTAAAGAGCTCAGAGATGAGGCAGGTCATCATTTAATGCAGAAAGACATAGGCCCCTTTGCTCTCTCCCTTGTTACACGTTCCAGGGTAGCAATGGCGGGAAGTTAGGTTGATAGGACAACCTGGACACAGGGCAGTTAGGAGGGACAGTGTACAGTGTTGGATTTGGAGTCAATAAGACCTGAGTTTGGATACTGCCTCAGAAATGTAGTAGCTGTGTGACCCTGAGCGAGTCACAAAAATTCCCAGACTCAGTTTTCTTACCTGTAAAATGAGGGAGATGAGAACACCTACCCTTAAGGAAACAACCACCCACGCTTAACCTAGGTGTTATCCTCGACTCTTCACTATCTCTTACTCCTCATATTGAGTCTGTTGCCAAGGCCTTTCAATTTCACCTTTGAAACATCTCTCTCATATTCTTTTTCTCTCTTTTGACCCTGCCACTACCCTGGTATAGGCCCTCATCTCCTCACACTGAAATATTGAAATAGTCTGCTGGGTGGCCTGCCACAAGCGTCTTCCCACTGCAGGCCAGCCTCCATTCAGCTGCCAAAGTGATTTTCCTTAAGTGGGTTTACCTACTCAGTGAGCTTCACTGGTTCCCTACCACCTCCAGGATCAAACACAAAATCCTCCAACGTTCAAAAACTTTCATAATCTAGCTCTCCCCACACTTCAGTGTTCTAATACTGCATCGCCTTTACATGTCCTCTTTCCCCCATGTCCTGGTCTTTTGGCTGTTCCTCAAACAAACACCATCTGGCTCCGAGCATTTTCAATAGCTGTTCCCCGATGCCTAGAATGCTCTTCCTCCTCATTTGTGCCTCCTGGCTTCCTCCCAGTCCCAGCTAAAATCCTACCTTCCATGAGAAGCCTCTCCCAGCACCTCTTAATTCCAGCGCCTTCTAGTTTGTGCATAGTTGCTTGCAAGCTGTCTCTCCCTTTAGAATATCTGCTCCTCTAAGGCAGGGATTGTCTTTTGACTTTCTTCGCTTCCTCAGTGCTTGGCACCTGCCTGGCACATAGTAGATGCTTAACAAATACTTATTGCCTGCCTACTTCATGGAGTAGGTGTGAGAGTTAATTGAAGCACTTTGCAAACCTTACAACGCTTTACAAATGCTGGTTGTGATGATTCTATCTGAGGGGTGGAGTGGTAATATGGTGAAAAAAGCCCTGGATTTAGAATTGGAAGGCCTAGTTTTGAATCTCAGCAATGCTGTGTGAGCTTGGGCAAGTCAGTTAACCAAATCTGGGCCTTAACTTCCTACCTGTGTTTTTTTCATGCCTAATTTTCCTTGAGACATGTTGTATGTTGTCTTTCACATTAGACTGAGAGCTCCTTGAGATTAGGGACTGTCTTATGACTTCCTTTGTATCCTCAGTGCTTAGCATAGTGCCTGGCACACAGTACGTGCTTAATAAATGTTTATTGACTGACTGAATTTATTTTTACTATATTTCCATTTCTTGATTGTCACCTCCATCCTCTATTCCTTTAATTTTCTGTAATAATGCTGTGTCTGAAACCTTGAGTACTAGAAACTTCTATTCCTTTAGAACCTCACTTTCCTACTGGTGACAACATCGGTGGAGAACCATTCAGATGTGTCTAAGACCCTTGCCCCTAACCATAACCTCCCTATACTCCATAAATTCTTGGACCCAAGATGCTTTATCTGGAGGTTAGTTCTCTTAAATTGACTTAGCATTTTGCAGGTCAGCTTGCAACCTAACATGAACATCCTCTTGTAGACCTAGTAAGGTGCTTAATTTATGGCCCCATGTTGAGGGAAGGTGCACTGCCCAGGCAGAAAAGGTGTCAGATATTAGGAGGAATGGCCAGATACTGATGAGGCTGTGAATGCCAAGGTCGAGGTGCCCCTTCTCTATGGAACTATCAGTGTTCTTCTTTCCATTGTATCCTCGAGACTATTGCATCCCAAACCTTGACCTGATATGTTCTGCTTCCACCAGATTCTGGTTCCTTCTCTTTTCACTATCCATTGTTCACTGCTAGGTGGTGTAGTGGATAGGATGCTGTACACGGAGATGGGAAGACCTAGCTTCAAATCCTGCCTCCCTTCACTAGTTGGGTGAATCAATTGACTTCTTTCAGCCTTAGTTTCTTCATCTGTAAATTGAGAAGGCTAGACTTTGATGGACTCTATGCTCAACTTATTCTCTGGACTGTTCCATCTCCTCATCTGCAGCCTTGACCCCTTTGTGATGACTCTATCCTGGAGCTTGTTCTTTCAATGGGTGAGCCCTCAGTTGGGACAGCAATTTCTTGAGAGAGCCTAGTTATGCTCTTTGGATCACTCATGCAACAACCTCAACCCATTACAGACTGAGCATTTTTTTCTGAGAGATTGAGTGACTTGCCCAAGTCACACAGCCAGTATAGGATTTGATGGGATTTGAACCTGGGTCTCCTGAATATAAGTCCAGCACTATCTAATGTACTTCTTATAGAGAGGAAGTATAGCATAATGTGACATTTTCAAAGTGTGGTTCAGGATCACTGGGAGTCCCTGAGATCCTTTCAGGAACTCTGAAAAGTCAAAACCAATATGTTACTTACCTATTAAAATGCTCCTCCCTTTTCTAACTTCATAACTATGTGAGGGTGGATTTTTTTATATACTGCACTATCATGACAGATTGAATACAGAAGCAAATATGAGAATCCAACTGTCTTCTATTAAGCCAGATATGAAAGAGATTTGCAGAAATATGCAAAATTATACCACTCTTCTCGCTGATTTTTTTTTGGGAAAACATAGTCATTTTTCATTAAAAATGTTATTTATGTTAACATGTAATCGATTTATTATTTTTAAATGAATTAATATATAATTTAAAATTGGATGAGTTTTAATTTCTAATCCAATAGATATTAATAGATAAAACCAACACAAACAAAACCTCTTGGGAAGGTCCCCAATCATTTTTAAGAGCATAAAAGAGTCATAAGACCAAAAAGTTTGAGAACTTCAGGGATAGTGGAAAGGATCCTGCATGAGGAATCTGGAGACCTGGGTGCTAGTCCTGGCTTTGCTAATAAGACATATGAAATTCCTTGGGGAATTAACTTCCCCTTCTCAATGGCCTCATCTGTAAGATGAGATTCAAGGAAATAACATCTCTAGCACTATAATTCTTTGATCATTCTTGTATTTGGCCTTTATGTCTCCCCATAGACTTTTAATCTCTCAACTAATGTAGAGAGATTATTGAGGCCTTTCTGCAAGCTGGTTAGCTAGTGAAATCTGGAGAAGGCATAGTAAGTTGGTTTAAATTGAACCTATTGATTCATCAAAGATTTCTCCTAAGTTAACTGAGTAGGGCAAAGAAAACAAAATTAATTTCCTGGAAATAACTGACATGGAGATCTGATTTTGAACACAGGATGTTGAGGGGTATTTGGATTATGGTCTAGTGAAGTGGAAATTGATAAAGCCAGGCTGGCATAGTTTTGTTTGGCCCTAGGAGTAGATTCTAAGAGAGGGGAAAAGATTCCAGTTAAATTTAAGTCCCCCACCTCTGAATGGGTGTAGTCTTTACTTTGTTTTTCTTATCAGCAATTCTCTTCATTTCTTTGAGCCTCTCTTACCATGTCTCTAAAGTGGGAATAATAAATCACTACCTACCTCAGTGGGCTGTTGTGAAGAAAAGAGCTTTGGAAACTTTTTGAAGCCAGAGAAATGGGAATGATTATTATTGTTATTCTGCATGGTTTCTGCAATTTATTTTCTTGTGTATTTGGGTGGGGGCGGAGGGGACAAAAAGATGGTAACAATTTGTTGCTTCTCTTGCCTTTATCTAAAGCCTTATTTAACCTCAGTATTGCCCAAAGGAATCAACCACTCCTCACTTTTCTGCGGTAGACCTGCAAGTCTCAAGAAAAAAAGAAAATGAATAAACCCATTTCAGGTGGGGACCAATAGGATAGAGCTTCCTTGTAATTCAGCCCACAAAGGAAACTTGGAGGTCACATTGGCTAAACCTCTCAAATTAAAGATGAAACTGAGGCCTACAGGAAGTGACTTCTCCAATGTCACTCACTTAGTTAGTGAAGAGTCAGGAGTACAGGACTAGTAACCAGATCTCCTAGGCAAGTAACCTTTCCATTTGTCAGCAGTTTGAACTGACATAAATACAAAGTTCCAGTCCCTTTTCATTACTCAAAATTGGCCACCAAAACTTAATAATTTACTTCAAGTAAAAAAAAAATTGTATTCTTTAAAAAAAAAAAGCCTTCATTGGTTTTAACATTTTCTTGATGGACAAGAGGAAGACAAATGTGGGAACAGGAAATGACACGTGGAATCTCTTTGCTTGAATTCTTTAGTTTAGTATATCTTAGGTAAAGGTCTAGCTTAGAAAATAGTAGATTAGTATCATACTTAAAGAAGAAAGACAGATGTACCTCCTACTGTACAAGATCTTTACTTAGAGAAGCCAGCACAGTAACAACCAGAAAGGGAGATGTTCCTAGGAGAAATGTATAAGGAGAAGAAAATCTCAGAATCCGCTTTTTGAATGATTGTTTCATTTTTGTTATGTATGGTTTGCATGTTCAGGCACCATTTTCTAATGTTAGGCCTCTTGCCTATAAAAGACAGATCTCTAGTATCCTCTAGTGGTGAATGTCTGGTAATGTTCCTTCAGGGGATGATGGAAACGAATTCTTGAAGATGATCAATATCACAATGCAAGAAAAATGGGAAAGTTAGAGTCATGATCCATGAAGTCCAGGTGGGGGCCCTGTTTCAAAATTATAATATGATTTTTGAGCTGTTTTGCAACATTTTAAGGATGTTTCCTACAAGATGGTGATTGTTTTTTTCTTTTACAAAATAACATCCAGATAAATGACAGAAACCTGCAAGTCCTTAATGATCAGCTGCCTTCTATTTGTTTTGTATATTCTTATGTAGATATTTGTTGTCTTCCAGATTTAGAAAGCGATCTCTTCAAGGACAGGGATTATTTCCTTTTAGCTTTTCCATTTCCAGTGCCTGACACAGGGCTTCGCCCGAAGGAGGCATTTAAATGCTTATTGATTGGTGGGCTTAAAGCAGCTAGGTTTCACAGTGGATAGAGTGCTGAGCCTGTAGTCAAAAAGACTCATCTCCCTGAGCTCAAATCTGGCCTCAGACACTTACTAACTGTTGGACCCTGGACAAGTCACTTAACCCCACTTGCTTCCATTTCGTCATCTGTAAAATGAGCTGGAGAAGGAAAGAGCAAATCACTCCAGTATCTCTGCAAAGAAAACCCCAAATTGGCTCACAGAGAGTCAGACGCAACTGAAATGATAAAACAACTACAAACTTGTTTTATGTACCCTTTTTTATGTGTGAACAAATCATATTATAGACTTTTGGAACAGTTGAATTGTATATATCAGAACAATTCTTTAGATGTTCATCTTTATTCCCTTTCCCCTTTCTTCTCCTGGATTTCTATTACCTACTGTTGGGAAATGCCTAGGCATGATGGTAGTGGTGGAGACTTCGTGGAAACCCAACCTTTGTGGCTAGTCTCTTGGAACTGGGCATGGTCAGTCGTATGGGGTGGGAAGAGAGGCTGCTGAGTTTGTGTATTATGAAAGACTGAGTAAATTCATTCCCAAAGTCATCAGAAGTACTATTTACTTTCCAGGAAAACTCTTTGAAAACTGTGAAACCTTTACAGAATGTGAGCTATGGTTAGAAAGAAAAATACCATTGGCCAGGAGGAATGGCAAAACTTTCATATTCCTGGATACTGGGATGAATCACTGCACTCATTTTCCAACTTTGATAACCTCCTTAAAGAAGTAAATTCTCTAAAAACAAAGCCCAGAAGTAAAAAAAAAAAAACCAAACCAAGCAAATATTTGTAAATAAAAAGGAAATTGGAGATAAAAAAGTAAAAAGAAAAGGTAAACCAGGCTGATGAAGACTCATTTTCTTGTTGATTTGATAATGGATTTAGAGCTCTTAGAAGGGACATTTGAAGCCAGCTCATCTAGCCCCCTAATTTTGCAAATGAAGAAACTTAGGACCAGAAAGCTTAAGTGATTTGTCTGAGGTCAGATAGGTAGGTGGCTGATTGAGGATTTGAACTCAGGACTAGTTCAATATCAGCATGCTTTCTTTTGTATAACACTGCCTCTTGAAGCTTGGCCATATGTTTGTCATTGTTGCTGTTGTTGTTATATTGTTTCAGCTGTGTCTGACCCCATTTGGGGTGTTGTTGGCAAAGGTACTAGAGTGGTTTGCCATTTTTCTAATCCAGTGGATCCATTTTATCAGACAATCATAGATTAAGTGACTTGCTTAGGGTCACACAGATAGGAACTGTCTGTGGCTAGATTTGAACCTAGGACTTCCTGACTCCAGGCTGTGTTCTATCTACTGAGCCATGGGCTGTCTCTGGCCATATGTTTAGTTACTTTAATTTCCTTCTATGGTAAATTTAAAACACAGACTTAGACATACTGTCAAAAGAATCCTAAATCACTGGCAAGTACTAAAGGCCCTCTGCTTATATTTCTTCCTTTATTGTTTATACTTTCCATTATGGATCTACACTCACACCAAGTTGTGCTTGCTCACTTACACCTTTCATCATCATCATCATCATAATCAACATCAGCACCACTAACATTTGCATAGAAGTTTAAGATTTGTGAAGGCCTTTATAGTATGTTGACTCATTTGATCTTCATAATAACCTTATGAGATGGATATTATTATTAATCCCCATTTTATAGATAAGGAAACTGAGGCTGAGGCTGAGGGGTGTTCAGTGTTCCCAGGGTTACAGAGTTTTGTGAGAGGTAAGATTCAACTCGGATTTTCCTAACTCCAAGCCCTGCACTCTATCCATTCTGCCACCTATTTGTTACCTTTGTCATCTATGCCTTGGAAATCATTCCCCTTTCTCTGCCAAACTTCATCTCTCCCCTACTTCCAAAGCCTGCTCAAAATTGACCTCTTTCATGAAGACTTACTGAAGTCTACTTCAGTTTCACTACTTCAACACCAGATGTTCTTTCCGCACTAATTTATATGATTTACAAGATAGTCATTTGCATTTTCTTTTCTGTGCAAATATTGGTGTGTGTTCAGTACGCGTGTATTTTTCATGTCTTTTTGACCTTTCTTTTCAATTGGAGGTAAATTACATCAAGGAAAGCATTTTATCCTTTGATCCTTGATCAAGATATATACATATATATATATATATATATGTATATATATATATATATGTATATATATATATATACACATATATATATACACACATATATGTGTATATATATGTACATATATACACATATATGTGTGTGTAATATATAATGTGTGTATACATATAATATATATATATAGAGAGAGAGAGAGACAGAGAGAGACAGAGAGACAGAGACAGAGACAGAGACAGAGAGAGACAGAGAGAGAGAGAGAGATCCCAAATCACCTACGAAAATCTTTCACTAATGCCTCATCATCATTATCATCATCATAAGTGGCATTTATATAGTTCTTTAAGGACTGGAAATTGCTTTACTTCTATTATGTCGTTTGATGCTCACAATAACCCTAGGAGACAGATGTTATTATTATTCCCATTTTGCAGATGAGGAAATTGAGTCTGAGAGGTTAAATGACTTGCTCAGTGTCACACACCTGAGGCAGAACTTGAACTCAGGCCTTCCTGATTTCAAACCAATGTGCTATGCACTGTACCATCTAGATGCTTTATCATGACCTGCAGGTATCTGAGCCTGAGAGGGCTAAGCCAAGAATAGATAAGCTCTAGAGATCCTACCAAGCTAGAAAGGTTTCTAGTATACTTCTGGTGATAGACTCTATATGGATGCTGTTCAGGACCAAACAAGATAAATTTGGAAAGGCTCATCATATTTTTTGCTTTACTAACAAATGAATATTATCTATTAAGGCATGGCATGAGTATGCTTTAAGTCAGAAGAGGGAGAACCTACATGAAAAAAAATCATTGATAGTATTTTCTGGTGTGTACTCAATACATTTTAGTAATTAGGCCTGGACTATGTTTAAATACCATAATGTGATCTTATTGTAATTCAAACTTACCACCCCATTGGCTCTCACAATGGGAGCTTCTATGTCTGGGAAGACATTCTCTAGGTACCACTTGAAACTTTTGCACCCCAGTTTTTTCCGGAGTTCTCTTTGTTGAGTGAGGTTTCCGACATTCAGACTTTGGTCCAAGAGACGGTAACCGTGGCCATAGAAAAGCTCTTTGTATTCATCTAACCAGACCTCAGCCACTCGAATCAAGTTCCTCTCTATGGTTTTAATTCGATTTTCAGGGAAAGAGTATGGATTATCTTTCCTGAAGATGTGGCCCACACGGGAACAGGGAATGATTTCAATTTCTCCTCCACACATCCACACCTGGGGTAGGATGATGATAAAAATTTATTTAGTGGATAATAGGAAAACAAAATCTTTAATAAATACACACTTATTTATATTCTGAAAGTATGTATGTTTTAATGCATTTTGTATTGCTTCCAAATATTATAGAACAAAGGCCGTGAGCATATAACTGTTTAATAAATATTGTTTGATGATGATATATATTACTTAAAAATGGATAGTTGCTGTAATAAAATCTATAGGTTTAATTTTTAGTGTACAGGTAGCATTGGAACATTATTATAATTCTATCCTTTGGGTTTGTGCTAGGTGGCCATTTTATAGATACACTCAGAATGCTCAACAGTTCAATAACTTAAAATCCTTGATTGGGGTCCAGGTTGGCCAACAATAAACAAATGAACTTGATAGCCTGCAGATATATTCAGTATCCTGAATGGCATTTAGTATCATGCACAGATCTCAAAAAATTTTGTGCATGTTGGCAAAAATCTGTATTTTATTAATTTTCCAAGTTGTAGCCACTGAGACATAAGAAATGGAAGGGCTTTCCTAAAATTGGTTGATGACAGGCAGCATTGCTCCCAATTCCCAATCTACCACATACAAACATTAACCCAGGTCTAGGGCTCCTAATATGGTTTTGAAGTATCTTCTCTGGTAGCCAATACTATTTTCAATAATGTCAACAAAACAGAATCAGGTGAAAATCTGCCAAAATAGAAAACTGAAAATGCAACTTGAGCCAGGCGTGGCAATACCTTGAATGAAAGCTCCATATTTTCACCACCCCAAACGTCAAGGCCAGGATCATATGTTCCAAGTTCAAAAAAATATTTTTTATCAATAGAAAATAATCCACCAGCCATGACTGGACACCTAAAAATGAAAGGACTGGTTTTAGAATTAAATTCTTTGGAATATGAAGAAAACTGCTATTCTAGCAATAGTTGTGCTCAGGATTAAAAATCTTGGGATAAATAAGTACTGAACCTGTTTAAGACACTCTTTTCTGGTGGCAGGTGACTACAATAGGAACCAGGAGGAGGTTCTGCTTCACATATTGTCAAGTTGAAGCACTGATTGTGTCAAGTTAGGGAACCTTTGACCTTGACCTGGCGGGTGTGTGTGTGTGGGGGGGGTCGTCTCAGCAGACACTAACTTGATTGTTGTAGTTGGAAAATAGTGGTACTGATTTTCAAGTGAGATAACAGCAATATCAATAATATTGAGTTCAAATCTATCTTGAGACACTTACCAGCTGTGTGACCATGGCTAAGTCACTTAACCTGTTTGCTTTGATTTCCTCAACTATAAAATGGGAATGATAATACACCTACCTTGTAGAGTTGTTGTGAGGATCAGATGAGATAATATTTCTAAAAAGTGCTTAGCACAATGTCTGACATATAGTAGGCACTTCATAAAGGCTTATTCTCTCCCCTATCCTTTCCTTCCTTAATACCTTTAAAGTTTTTAAAGCAGTTTTATTTTCCTATGGCAGTCATATGGATTTGTGGAAATGAAGGGGTTTAAGATGGCACTTCAGAATCAGGTCTAAAAGGAATTTTTTTTAAGGAACCCCATTATCAAGGTAATAGATAGAAGGAAATGGTGTAGACTGCAAGACACCGCACTATAAGCTTTAAAACTTTAGCACCATCTGCGAGTTAAGATAGTGGAGTACAAGGAACAGTTCAGTTGAACTCTCCCAACATTCCTTTCCAAACAACCGAATCCCTCAAATAAAATTTTGGAGGAGCAGAACCAACAAAAGGTCAGAATGAGACATTTTCTAGCCTAAGACAACTTAGGAGATTGGCAGGAGAGATCTGTGACAGTGGAGTGGGAGCCAGCCCAGAACATTGCAGGAGTATCAGCAGTGTGCCTGGGAGGTGGCTGCAACACCACCAGCAGCAGTTTTGGGAGCTCTCAGCCCAAAGACAGTAAGAGAATTGAAAAACGAGTCAGAAAGAGATTACAGTGGACTGGTGCAGCTGGTGCTGAATGGAAACTCTGTTACTCATACACAATTCTGACCCAGAACAGGACAGAGAGGAGCACTTCTGGTTGGTCACAAGAGAGCAGGGGTCCTTGTAGCAATTCCAAGGCAGAAAGGAGCACTAGTGCTTATAGCTCCAGGGGGACAGGGAATGTGATCATAGTTAGAGGACCAAGAAGATTGCGAGCACTTGCTAGGGGCATGGCCATTTCTAGGTAAGGGAGAGCACAGACTAGTAGAGCAGTGACCACAACTCTTCCAGAATCACACCACCTTGGAAGAGTCAAAAACTTGTAGAACTCCAGAATTAACTGTGAAAATAGAAGCACAAAGAGAGTCTCAGGCTTGAGACAGTGCCTCTCCACCTCCAAATGAGCAGAGCCCAACTTTAACATAAAATTCAAAGACAAGAAATAAGGTAGAAAAAATGAGCAAATAATAGCAGCAAGAACAATAAGAAAAGAACCTGACCATAAAAACTACTACAGTGGCAGGTGGCAGGGAAGACCAAGATGTAAACTCAGAAGAAGACAATAATGTGAAAAAAGCTACAAGGGAAGCCTCAAAGAAGAATGCTAATTGGACCCAAGCTCAACAAAAATCCCTGAAAGAGTTAAAGAGATGAGTCATAGAGGAAAAACTGGGAAAATAAATGAGAGTGATGAAAGAAAATTATGAAAAGAGAATTAACAGCTTGGTAAAAGAGACACAAAAATATTGAAGAAAATAATACCTTAAAACCAAATTTGGATAAATGGTTAAAAAAGGCACAAAAAAGAAAAGAATTCCTTAAAAAGCAGAATTGGCTCAATGGAAAAAGAGGTACAAAATCTCAATGAAAGAAATAATTACTTAAAAATTTTAATTGAGGCAGTGGAAGCTAATGACTCCATGAGACATCAAGAAACAATAAAGCGCATTTAAAATAATGAAAAAATAGAAGAAAATGTGAAATATCTCCTCAGAAAAACAACTGACCTAGGAAATAGATTGAGGAAAAATAATTTAAGAATTATTGAACTACCTGAAAGCCATAATGAAAAAGGCCTACACATCATATTTCAAGAAATTATAAAGCAAAACTGTCCTGATACCTTAAATGGAGAGGGTAAAACCAAAATTGAAAGAATTCACTGATCACCTTCTGAAGGAGATCCCAAAACCTAGAAAGATTTACATGAACTGATGCTGAGTGAAGTGAGCAGAACCAGGAGGACATTGTACACATTAAGAGAAACATTGTGCAATGACCAACTTTGATAGACTTAGCTCTTCTCAGCAATGCAAGGCTCTAAGACCATTCCAAAAGACTCATGATGGAAAATGCTATCCACATCCAGAGAAAGAACTATGGCGTCTGAATGCAGATTGAACCATACTATTCTCTCTCTCTCTCTCTCTCTCTCTCTCTCTCTCTCTCTCTCTCTCTCTCTCTTTTTCGGTTTGTGTTTCTTCTTTCTCGTGGCTTTTCCCTTTGGTTATAATTTTTTACAACATGACTAATGTGGAAATATGTTTAAAATGAATGTATACATATATCCTATATCAGATTGCATGCCATCTTGGGGAAGAGAGGAAGAGGGAGAAAATTTAGAATTCAAAATCTTATAGAAATGAATGTTGAAAACTAAAAATAAATAAATGAACAAACAAACAAATTAAAAAAAGAAAGAAAGAGATCCCAAAATGAAAACTCCCAGGAATATTATAGCCAAATTCCAGAGCTCAAGAAGAAAATATTGCAAGCAGCAAGAGAGAAACAATTCAAATATTGTAAAGGCACAGTCAGGATCACACAAGATTCAGCAATTTCCATGTTAAGGGATCAGAGGGCTTGGAATACAATATACTGGAGGGCAAAAGGGCTAGGATTACAACCAAGAACAAACTACCCAGTGAAACTGAGTGTAATGAAATAGAGGATTTTCCGACATTCCTAATGAAAAGACCAGAGCTGAATAGAAAATGTGACACTCAAACAGAAGATTCAAGAGAAGCATAAAAAGGTAAACATGAAAGAGTAATCATAAAAGTATCAATAAAGTTAAACTGTTTACATTCTTATGTGGGAATATGATACATGTAATTCTAAGAACTTGATCATTATTAGGGCAATCAGAAGTAGTCTACATAGAGGGCATGAGTGTGAGTTGATTATGTCAGGATGATTTCTAAAAATAAAAGTAGGGGTGAGAAAGCAGGATGAATGGAAAGAAGGGGGAAGGGAGAGGTAGAATGTGGAAATTTTTCTCACATACAAGAAGCTTGCAAGGAATAGCTTTATAATGGAGAAGAAAATGGGGAGTTAATGGGCAATGCCTGAACCCCATTCTCATCAGAATTGGTTCAAAGAGGACAGAAGATGTATACATACTCAGTTGGGTATATGAATGTATCTTGCCCAATAGAGAAATAAAAGGGGAGGGGATTCCCCAATTGATAAATGGCCAAAGGATATGAAGAAATTAAATGAAGAAATTAAAGCTATCTATGGTCATATGAAAAAAAAATACTCTAAATCATTATTGATTAGAGAAATGCAAATCAAAACAACTTTGAGGTACCACATCACACTTATCAGATTAGCCAACATGACAAAACAGGAAAATGATAAATGTTGGAGAAGATGTGGGAAAATTGGAATACTGATGCATTGTTGGTGGAGTTGTAAAACAATCCAATCATTTTGGAGAGCACTTTGGAACTATGCCCAAAGGCCTATAAAAATTTGCATAGTCCTCGACCCAGCAATAATACTTCTAGGGCCATATCTCAAAGAGATCATAAAAATGGGAGAAGTACAAAAATATTTTTAGCAGCTCTTTCTGTGGTGGCAAAGAATTGAAAATTGAGAGAATGCCCATCAATTGGGGAATGGCTGAACAAGTTGTGGTATACGAATGTAATGGAATACTATTGTGCTATAAAAATGATGAGCAAGTAGACTTCAAAAAAACCTGGAAGGACTTGTATGGACTGATGCTGAATGAAGTGAGCAGAACCAGGAGAACGTTGTACACAGTAACAGCCATGCTGTGAGATGACTAACTTTGACAGACTTAGCTCTTCTCAGAAATGCAAGGATCTAAGACATCTTCAAAAATCTCATGATGGAAAATGTCCAGAGAAAGAACCATGAAGTTTGAATGCAGATTGAAGCATACTATTTGCTCTTTTTTTCCCCCTCTGTTTTATTTTGTTTCCTCTTTCTTGTGGTTCCTCCTATTGGTTCTAATTCTTCTTTACAACCTAACTAATGTGAACACATGTTTGGTGTGAATTTATATGTAGATCCTATATCAGATTGCATGCTGTCTTGGGGAGGGAGGCACAGAGGGAGTAGAAGAAAAATCAAAAACTCAAAAGCTTATGGAAGTGATTATTGAAAACTAAAATTAAATTAATTAATAAAAAATAAAAAAAATAAAATCTCAGACACTTAATAGATGTTTGATGCTGGGCAAGTTACTTAACCCTCTTTACTTCAGTTTCCTCATCTATAAAATCAGGCTGGAGAAGGACATAGCAAACTACTCCAGTATCTTTGCTAAGAAAACCCTGGTGGGGTCATGAAGAGTGGGACATGACTGAAAATAATAACACCACCATTATACTATAAGAAATGATGAGAGGGGTGGTTTCAGGAAAAAAAAAACATGGTAAGACCTATATGAACTGATGCAAAGTGAAGTAAGAAGAATCAGGAGATCACTGTGCACAGTAACAGTAATGTTATAATTTTGATCAACTGTGAAAGACATTGCTACTCTGATGCAAGTGATCCAAGACAATTCCAAAGGACTGATGATGAAAAAATGCTATCCATCTCCAGAAATAGAACTGATGAAGTGTGAGTGCAAAATGAAATATAATTATCTCACTTTTTAATTTTTTTTGCTTTTTTATGATATGACTAATACAAGAAATATGTTTTGCATGATTTTACATGCATAATTAATTGATAAAAGCTTGTCTTCTCAGTGGATAGGGGAGAAGTAGAAGGGTGGGAGAGAATCTGGAACTCAAAATTTAAAGAGAAAAGCATGTTAAAAATAAATAAGCAATAAATTGAAAAAACAACAACAACAAACTTCTGCACCTTCCAAATGTCTAGCTAGATGTGACCTTGTGGAGAGAATTATACATCAGAACATTCTCATTTTTTGTGGACTGACAGCTGACAAATCTCCATCCAAAAAATACAGTCCTTAAAATTTCCTAGGGAAGTCAACCAAGAAACTGTATTGGCACAAGACCATTGTCACTGACTGAAATAGTCTCTTTCACACCTGGATAGAACATTGATTCATAAAATCTTAAGAACAACTTTTTTCAGAATTGCCACCATTCCAAACACGCATACTTCCCAAGCGCCATGTAAAAAAAAAAAAAAGCTTTCAAAATATAGAATGTCAGAAAAGACTTAGTGGAGTTTTAAGCAATTGAAATTTAAGGGAAAAATGTTTAAAATTTAGAACTGCACTATGAGACACCTCATATTCAAACTTGTTTAAGGAGAGACAAATCATGTTGGAATCTGTTACCTCTATTTGTCAAAATGCTTAGTGCAGTATCTGGCACACGGTAGGTCCTATATAAATGCTTATTTCCTTCCTCTTCCCCTACCAAGGGCTTTCAGTGTGCTCACAGAGGAGAGGGTCACATTCTGACAATGTTACTCAACTACAAACAGCTATGATTTTCATCAACCCGTAGAATAGTGTATAGAATACTGAATACAGAAAAGTAATCACAGGATTAGTAAATAAGAACAGCACAATTCTGCCTGAACTCTATAAAAAAGGTGAGGGTAAGTTAATAATAAAAATAGTGGTGGTTAGCATTTATAGAGAACTTTAAGGTTAGCTAGCAAAAACAGTGTACAGGCATTATCTTATTTACTCCTTTCTACAATCTACTAAGTTTAGGTGCTATTATTATACCCATTTTAACAATGATGAAACTAAAGCTTGGGGAGTTAAAGTGGTTTGCTCAGGATCACACAGCTAGTAGCAACAACAGAATATATAATGTAGCTATTTTCAGTTAAAAAAGCATCTTATGAATACTATCTCATTTGATTCTCAACAACTTTGTGAGGTAGGAAGAGCAGGTGTTATTATCTCCCTTCTACAGATGAAGGTGCTGAGGCTCAGCATGATTAAGTGACTTGCCCAAGGTCATACAACAAAACAAGTGGCAGAGCTGGGGTTCCACCCAGTTTTTCTGAGTCTAGTCCCGGTATGATTCCCATTACCAAGCAATGATGATGCATTGATAACACAGTCAATTAATTACACAGGAAAAATCAAGTGGATAAAGAAGGCCTATTAGCCAGATAGTATACATAGTTGAATGGGCAACTCATGGAATTGGTATACATGCATATATAATGTATGTGCATGCATGTGTGTGTGTGCGTGCGCGCATGTGTATATACACATGTGTGTATGTATATACATACATGCACACATATATGTATATACATATACACACATATTTGCCAGACACTGCATGTGTCTAATGATAGCTGGGCCTTGATTTGAATATAACAATAATAGTTAACATTTCTCTAGTACTCTCTACGTGCCAGACACTTTGCTAAACACTTTGCAATTATTATTTGATTATCACAAAAACTCTAGCAGGTAGATGTTAATATTTTCCTCATTTTAGAGATGAGGAAACTGAGGCAAACAGAGGTAAAGTGACTTGCTCAAAGTCACATACTAGTAAGTATTTGAGACTGGATTCGAACTCAGGTTGTCTTAACTCCAGGCTCAGCGCTCTACCCACTGTACTACCTTGCTGAAGAAGACAAGCAATTCAGAAATTACTTGATCGTGGTGATGTTAATAACAATAGTTTCTGATCTGGGGTTGTTTTTATAATAACTACATTGGTTTACATATTTTCTAGAATCAGTAATTAATTTATGGAAGACTATGGAATAAACTGACACACCTTGTTTCTCCTTAAGATCTATTTCTATGCCTCTGTCCCCACTTTGTTTCCACGATCCTAATTTCCCACTCTTACCTTATTACATCTGTTTCCTTTATCTTATTTTGCTTAATGACCTCCGGAGGAATCTTTTTCCAACTAAAATTCATGGGCCACACAAAGATGCCTCTTTGAAAGTTGTCCACTGTCATGTAGCTAAGAAGAGAAAGCACGCAAAAGCCTTATCAGATATATGACACATTACCTTACATCCTGTATGCTGACTTCTTAGCAATCACTATAACCCGAATGAAAGAACTAACTGCCTAAGAACAAGATGTTGGACAAACATCACCACAAATCTTTCAATGACACATGAATTTATGGAATCTTTGTGCCATAGTGATTATATAGTTGTACTACTCAGTTCTTTCCAGGCTTTGTTCCCTCCCCTAGACTGTTTATGCCTCCATTGTCTCACCTCTTGCTATGCTATGATCTGCATTCTGAATTCCCATGTCATTATTCAGCCGAAATGACTCTCTTTAAAGTTACCAGTGATCTTTAAATGGCCAAATCTAATGATGAACTTTTCTCAGTCCTCATCCTTCTTGACATCCATGCCACATTTGACACAGCTGATCACCCTCTCCCTCTAGATTCTCCTTCCTCCTTAGGTTTTCATGTCACTATTCTCCTCTTACCTCTCTGACAATTCATTTTTAATATGTTTATCGGCCCATTATCCATCTTCACCCACTAGCTGTAGTGTCTCCCAAAGCTCTGTCTTTAGATCTCTGTCTGTCTCTGTCTCTCTCTAGGGTAAGGGCATATCTCTCTGTCTCTGTCTCTCTCTGTGTCTCTAGGTCTCTGCATCCCCCCTGCCTCCTACTCATCTGCTCCCAAGAACTTATAGTTTCTGTGTTGATGACTAATAGATCTATTCTCTTCCCTGAACTTCAATAACCACATACTAGTGTTCTGCCTATTAGACACTTTAAAGTATATGTACTAGAAACATCTCAAACTCAATACATTCAAATGTAACACGTTTCCCCCCAAATTCCTCTTTTTATTAAACTTTCTGTTCAATTTCTGTTGAGGGTTCCACATTGTTATAGTCTTTTAGGCTTGTAATGTTAGCATTATTCTTGTTTCCTTACTCTCCCTCACCCCACATATCTAATCAGTTTCCAAATCTCACTATTTGTACATCTGTGACATCTCTCATATCTGACCCTCTTTCTTTATTCACATAGATACTGCCTTAGGTCAGGTTGTCATTGCCTGCCTGCCTCAACTTTCTCCCCTACTTCAAACCAACCTCCATATGGCTTCCAAAGTAACTTTCCTCAGTTGTAGATCTGACCATGTAATTATTTTGTTCAATAAACTTCAGTGGCTCCTTATTGCCTCAAGAATAACATATAAATATTTATGTTTGGCTTTTAATTCCTTCATAATGTCTTTGCACACCTTCATCTTATTATAGAATCTATTCCTTCCTTCACCCAAATTCTAAGGTGTTCTCTCTTTAACTTGTATTTAATTACTTCAAATTTATTTCATATTTATTCTGCAAGTGTTAATTCCATATGTACAATACAAATAAATACATATGTGTATGTGTGCACATGTGTGCATACATATGTTGTCTTCTGCCATAGAATGTAAGCTCTCTGAGAGCAGAGACTATTTCATTTTTGTCTCTGCAGTATAGTAACTAGCACAGTGCCTGGTGTATAGTAGACACTTAATAAATGCTTGATTGATAGGATTGTAAGTTTCTGAAATTATTTTCCCTTTTCACCTACGATCTGTGCTAGCCTGAATGGGATCTTACAGGCCCTCAGATCCAAATGGCTTAGAGAGAGAGAGAGTACTAGAAAATTCATCTATTAATGAGGATTAGAATTTGCTAAGACATGGATACATATAAAGAGGTTTATAGGATTGGGGCTGGGAACAGGTGTAGTTCAGAAATGAGTTGGATTAGTAAATTATTTAATGAATTTGTCTTTCCTCCAAGATATGCCCTTACTCTAGAGCACTGGCAGGAATTTCTTATTTAACGGGATGGAGACTGTGTTTGTCATATTTGAGAAGATTTCAATATAAGGGGACTAAATAGTATACTTAGTCACTAGTGGTCTGTGCATAAAGGAAACATTCAGTGAAATGTAATGACATTACCTTAAATCCTTGTCATTGATTATTTCAATAACTGGACAGGCCACTTTTTTTCTGTTCAAATAAATTCTTTCTAGGAGAGGTTCCAACCACCCAACATTACATTCCACATGAGAATCTAGGAATGTCAACACATCACCTGGTGGGCAGAACAAAGATACAGTTTAGGTCCAGCCCTCCCTCTGGTTATGAGCCTCTCACCTTATACTCCCCTCCCCTTTCAAGCTATTTTGAATCAACCTCTACTCTTGCTGTTCCCTCATTTGGTAGCCATAGCTCCAGCCTAGCCTCACCATCTTGTCCTGACTCTTTACAACTGTTTTCTTAATTAATAAAATATAGTAACTTGTCCAATAGAACTTTAAATGCCCTATCCTGGGACAATTACCTGCTCTAGTTCTGGCTCTGCGTCCAGCCACCCTTCATATTTGCTTGTTACTGTATTTGTATTGCTTTTTCTCTACATTTTGTTTTCTTCCATTAGAATATAAGTACTTTGAGAAGAGGGACTATTCAATTCTTGTCTTTGTGTTGGTAACATCTAGGATATCACATATCAGATGCTTAAGAAATGTTTGTCAAATGAATGAATACCTTCCTAAATGGACTTCCCATTTTTCAGTCTCTCCATTCTTCAAACCATCCTCCATGTGGCTGCCAGAAGAATCTCCTTAAGCCCAAGTCTGACCATCTTATTTTCTGCTCAAGTGTCAGTGACTCTCTATGGCTTCTAGAATGAAATACAAACTCTTCAACTTGGCATTGGAAGCCTTTCATAGTCTGGCTCCAGTCCCCCTTTCTAAACTGATTTCATGTAACTTCCCTTCAAAAACTCTGCATTCCAGCCAAACCAGCTCTTCCTTGAACTTGACATCCTGCACAGGTTGTCCTGTGTGCCTGGAATTCTCTCTCTGAATCCTTGGTTTCCTTCAAGGATTAACTCAGGCACCATTTCCTATCACAAGACTTTCCTAATTCTTTAGTAGTTAGGTTCTCCTCTTCAAATTTTATATTTACCTACCAATTAACAAATAACAAATGTTTATGAAAGACTATGTGCCAGGAACTGCATGGCTGGTGTGGCTGCATGGAATACAAATACTAAGAATGAAACCACCCTTAGTTTTAGGGAGCTGATAATCAAATTGGGGTGACAACTAGTACATATATAAGAATACATATAAAGAGAAAAATGATAAAGAGGTCGAACACAAGGTAATTAGGGAGAGAAAGCACTAAAACATTTGGACAATTCAGAAAAGAAAGGGTTCATGTAGGAGGTGATGGTTTGTGCTGTATTTTGAAGGAAGAGAGAGATTCTATGAAGCAGAGGGAGAGCATTTCTGGCATAGGAGATGGTCAGTGCCAAGGCAGTGAGACAGGAATGCTGTTTTGTGTATGAGAGAAGGCTGAATTAGCTAAATGACAGATTATAGAAGATGGAGTAACATACAACATAGCTGAAAAGATAGGCTGGGGAAAATTTGGCAACCCATTGGATATATGGAGTGAGGGAGAGTAAAAAGTTGAGGAAAATGCTGAGTTTATGAACGTGGGAGACTAGAACAGTGGTGGTGCCAATAGTAATAGGGAGATTTGGAAGAGAGATGAGTTTGGGAGTTCTGTTCTGCACAAGCAATTTTAAGATGTCTTTGGGACATCCAATTTGAAATTTTGAATAGAAATTTTGTAATGCCTGACCGACACTCTGGAAAGAAACTGGGACTGGATATGTAGAACTGTAAGTAATTGGAGGTAGATAATAATTAAACCACGACAGCTGATGAGGTTACTAAGAGAATGAATTGAGAGAAAAGAGAATAGGACCTAGGATAGAGCTTTGAAGAATGCTCATAATTAGGGGTCATGGATGGTGGCTCAGCAAAGGAGACTGAAGAGCAGTAGCAAATGTAGGGGGCGGCAGTGATTAAAAGTGGTGTTACAATAAAACACAGAGCAAAGAGTATCCAAAAGGAAAGAGTGTTGACAATGTCCAATGAAGCAGAGAGGTCAAGAAGGGTTAGACTAAGAAATGACCTTATGTATATCTGGGACTTATTTGCCAATGAAGTCAGTACTCTTGGCTCTCTTATAGGTTATTCTTATTCTATATTATGAGGCCACCAATAAGAGTCTTAGGTCACAGTAGTACTTGTGCCATAGATTGTGTACCATAATTCTGATCAAGAATTGCTCCTGTAATTGTGGAGAGATAGCAAGGGAGAAGTATGATCAATCTACAGAGTAAACTCATGAGAAAACTATTTGAGAGGAAATTAAATTATGTCATTATAAAGTCTTCAAAGTCTCACGGCAAGGAACATAATTTATCTAAAACAGAGACATCAGAAGGAAGAGATGTTCTGACTCCAGAATCTCTACACTTGACTTCTGGGGAATCCTATCCAGTTGTGAGAACAAGAATCAATAACCTCTCACCTGTTGCGATCTGTGCCCCTGCCAGTCTGGCTCGTATTAAGCCATGCCTCTCTTTGAGATGAAGTACCCGGACTTTGGGAAACTGTGACATGTATTTATCCAATTGGTCTTTCAGGTATTCTAAATCAAAGAGGGAGAAAAGGGAGAAAATATTTATCTCAGCCTGACCTTGGAGCTGTGACAAGCCTAAGAACTCCTGTGACATTTATTGGAATAGTGACATTTTATTCTCTTTTTCAAGGTTTTGGTCACTAATGTCATTTCTTTATCAAGACTTTACCAAGAATCTACCAGGGGTGGGGAACCTGCAGCCTCAAGTCACATGTGGTCCTCTAGGTCCTCAACTGTGGCCTTTGAATCCAAACTTCACAAAACTAATTCCATTAAGAAAAGGATTTGTTCTGTAAAATTTGGACTCAGTCAAAAGGCTGCACCCAAGGACATAGAAGGCCACATGTGGCCTCAAGGCTGCAGGTTCCCTACCCCCTAAATTCTAAACTATTAGATGCTCAGTTTCCTCTCTTCAAAATCCCCTGTGTCAGGGCAAACAAGCAAGTTGAGGTTCATAGTTTCAGGAATTTAGAGCTGATAGGAATCTTAGAATTCATCTAGTACCACTTCAGTCATTTTTATTTTCGAGGAATTTGAGTCCCAGAGAAGTAAAGTAACTTCGAGAGTCTCATAAGAAGTAAATGGTAGAGCTGGGATTCAAGCCCGCAACCCTTGATTTGAGATTTAGCATTTTTTTCAATTGTAATTGAATTCTTCAGGTTCAACTTTTACAGAAGTTGTTGAAGAATTCTCCTTCAGTGAGATTCCCTTCCATTACTTCCTGTGGCAATGGTGATGGAAGGTGGCCCATAGTCAATTGCCAAAGAGCCAAGATGTTAGAGGATATTCCTCCTGTAGTGCATTCAATTCCACCCTTGCAGACTTGTTCATTCCTGTGGATCTTGAAAGCTTTTAAAGATGAATGATTCTGGGAAAGAGAAGCAGGAGGAGGCAGAAGAGAATGAAGAAGAAGCAGAGGAGGAGGAAGCAGAGGACAGATAGGATGATGAGAAGAAATAGGAGAGAGTAGAGAAAGAGGAGGAAGAGAAACAAGAAGAAGAAAGAGGGAATAGAAAAAGAGGAAGAGGAGGAAGATAAAGAAAAAGAAAAGAAGGATGAGAACAGGCAGAAGAAGAGGGAAAAGAGTAAAAAGAGAAGGAAATCCAGGAGGAGAAGAAAAAGAGAAAGGGAAAGAGACAAAAGAGAAAGAGAAGAAAGACTGAGAGGAGGAAGATTAAACTGTGATAGACCCTTTATCATCAAAAAAGGGAGTGTATTGTTTCCCATCAGGAAAGCTTCTGTTTTTGCTCACGTTCACTTTTTGAGGCGTTCAGTCAGTCCACTGTGGTCCAGTTTTCCTCCTCTCAGTCTTTCTCAGTTAATTCGAGTATTTGTAAGAGTCAAAATGATTTAGTGGCTCAAAGTTGTTCTTAAAACCATATTGTTACTGCATATGACATTCTCATGTTTCTTCTCAGTTTGCTCTTCATTATTTTGTGCAAGTCAGTCCATATTTTTTAAGATCATCGATTTTATCATTTCTTTTAGCAGAGTGGTATTCCATCACGATCATATACCACAACTTGTTCAGCCATTCCCCAACTGATGGGCATCCTCACAATTTCCAGTGAAATGCTTGTTTCATTTCTTAAGTTCAGAGTTAAAATAAATAAAATTCAAAAAGAAGAAAAAGCCATGCTGTGTAAGCAGACCTCGGTGGTGTGCTGGTAAATATTTGACAACTCTCCCCCCAAAACAACAACAACAACAACAACAACAATAACATGTAAGCAGAACACATTTTTAAGTTTCTGAATTATTAACATTTACTCCATCACTTTCTTAAGTCTAAGTGACCAATAAAATAATAAATCAAAATCTGTTTTGCCAATTTCTCACTGACTGGGATAATTTAACAATGGGCTCTCCCAAAGGGTGCTGGCTCCAGCAGGTCATTGCAGTGTCACTTATCACTGTGGTTATAGAAAAATGTTAATATGGAAGACAAAAAGAGGACACTATGTTGGGCTCTGCATTTCCATCTATGTTCAACATCAAGTTTGTATTTGCTGCAATTTGGAGTTGTTGGCCAGTGCCTATGGAGATATTAAGAAAGTGATAGGAGTTGTGTTTGTCAATGCTGTGCTTTGAATTCACAGAGGCAGTCCATGTAAGGACAGTACCATTATAGTCATCATCCTTGTGGCTGTAGCACAGAGATTCATAGCACTGGGGAAAGCCATACTCAACAAGCACATATGAATCTGTATTGTGTGATACTTACAAAATTGAGGGTTTGGAATGGATGCATTTCCCCTAGTCTATGTTTTTAGGGGAGGCATGATATCATATCTATAAAGGATTCTGTTCATCTGCAACTCCATCATATTTTGTAGTTTTAGAGTTGCTCAGGGCAGCATGAAGCTAAATAATCTGTCCATGGTCACAGAATTAGGATGTGTCAGAGGCAGGACTTCTCAGGTCTTTCTGATTCCAAAGCAGACCTTCTATTACCTATCCACACAGTCTCTAAATAAGAAGCTTAAGTAGTTACGATATTTTTTGAAATGCATATTGAATCACTTGTTGGTATTCTAGATACAAGAAGGGGAAGGAAATAGACAAATCAGCAAGATTTTAGGCTCTTGGCCCATTGGAAATGGGAGGTTTGGTCACTTAAGGAGGACAATGTGTACTGGAGTCACAGAAGAAATAGGAGGGGCCCTGCCTCTGACTTCCCAAGAGCTGAACTCTTCCTTCAGTTTCTGCCAGCAGCAAAGGTCCTGTCCTGTCAATGATCAATGGCAAGAATGTTCTTTTCTTTGGTTGTTTTACACCAACACAGATGCTTGTACACAACAAACTGTTGCTACAGTTGTGTAGAACATTTCATTTTCTCTGGTATTTTCTCAAATGATTGACTGCAAATAGGCTTGTGTGCCAGTATCATAGAAGGATCATAGAAAGGGACATTGGGGGGTATCTAGGCCAAACACCCAATTTTACAAATGAGGAACCTAAGGCTCAGGAAAATTAGGATTTGCTCGGGGTCATACAAAATGTATATTGTACACAGGTCCTCCTAATCTAAATCCAATATTTTTCCCACTCTACCATGATGCTGAAGTAGAATGATTTAGAAAAGGGATGCCATACCCCAAAGTGGCAAAGGAGGCTCAGTTGAATGGGAAGCTGGCAGTAGAGATGCACTCGATCCAGGGGTACTTATTTTTAGCTGACTGTTTGAAGGCCATACCATGTTGTCACTACAAAGTATCAAGTGAAGGACAGCTTTGGCCGTGTTCCATTTTTTTTTTGGCTTGATTACAAACTAATCTGTCCTCCCTTCCCCATTCCCCTTACCCCAATGACACATTAATTTGTGAGGATGCAGGCTTTGTGCTTTTGTTACCTTTGGTACTGAAGTCATCCACTAGCAGAATCTCTTTAATGAGGTGTGGAGGTGAGCGATTGAGGACACTGTGGACAGAGCGAAGAAGAGTAGACCACACCTCATCCACAAAGCACATGATGACAGAAGTGGTGGGGAGATTGTTGTGAACCAGCTGATTTGCACACCTGGATGGATAGCAAACAAGTAGAGCACAGGTGAGGTAGGATGTTGACATTGCTGACATTACATAGCAGATTAAAAAAAGAGTCATATTAGAACAGGGTAAACTTTGTTGAAGATTGGGCCACCTACTTTTGTAATGTATAAGCCAAGGCATTAAAGACAAAATAAATTCCAGATGATTGTGAATTATTTTTCTTCCTTCTTCCTTCCTTCCTTCCTTCCTTCCTTCCTTCCTTCCTTCCTTCCTTCCTTCCTTCCTTCCTTCCTCTCTTTCATCTTTCTATCTATCCATTTATTTACTTATTTATATATCTATCTATTCATTCATTCATTCATTCATTCATTCATTCATTCATTTATTCATCCATTCATTCATTTCTCTGTCTTTCTGTTTCTATCGCTGCCTCTCCCTCAGGACTGGGCCCAGGCTGAATGGATAGAAGCCACTCATGGGCCTACCCCATTGCTGATCATTCAAAAAGCTTTGCCATGCTCCATTTGTAATCTAGGTGGGTTCACCCCTCCATAATCAGCCTAATTTACCCCTCCCTCAGTTCTGAGGGCTCATCATATTGATGCTAGACAGTACAGACACCCTGGCAGCTTTGGCTTTGGCCCTCGTGTAGCTCAGAATTCCTGAACTTGCCTCCCCACTAGCACAGACTATAGCTGTGTACTACCACATCCAGAAGGGTGGTTGTCAAAAACTGAAGGTTGTAAAATTATAGTACCATTTAAAAAAAGACTAAAATGACAAGTCACATGGCATAGCGGAAATAGTCCTGGACTTGGAATCAGAAATTCTGAATCTAAGACTGAATTCTGTCATTTTTCAGTTACAGTAGGACCTTGAATGACTTAAATCTTTTCTGCATGTCATTATAGTCCCATGTAAAATGAGGATCAAAAGATTTAGAACTAGATAGGGCATCAGAAATGGTTTAACCCAAAGACTTCATTTTATAAAAGAGAATAAAATAGATGCTTAATAAATGTTCATTGCCTTAAATGACTTTCCCGGGGTTACAAAGATAGCAGTAAGACCAGGGGCTTGAACCCGGCTCCTCTGACTCAAGAGTTACTGCCTCTTTTTTTATATACAATAAAGTTCTTTGACCCTAGTTCTGCTTGTGTTACTTACCTCTTGTTGTTGGGGAACAATGGGGTGCAGCAGTACTGGCTTGTTAGAGGAACTGGCTCGCTAATCTCACTAGGCTGACTATTATTTCCATGACCCTGGAAAATTCTTTCAAGACAATGAACAAGCAAGTGTTGGGCTTGGAGTCAAGAGTTCCCATTTTCAAATCCCATCCCCAGTACTTTCTAGTTATGTGATCATGGCAGGTCACTTCCATTCATTTCTTTAGACCTCAATTTCCTCACCATAATACCTGCAATATCTATCTCATAGGATTGAGACTCAAATGGGAAAATCACATGTAAACCACTTTGCCAAGTTTAAAACACTATACAAATAGTTTTCGAATTGTTATAAAAACAAATCTAAACTATAATATGATTATCATGATTATCATTATTATGAAGGTACTATGTATAACCATACACTATTATATATTGTTACACATAATAGTATATTAACATACTACTTATTTTACTATGAATACAAGCCATGAATTCTTCCTGTAAGTAGCCTGTGAACCACAGGATGGCATTATGACCTATTTTAAATATAAAATATTCAATTCAGTCCTTGCTGTTGAATGGGCTATAATTGGCGCTCTCATTGGCAGTTTCACCAGAGTGTCTGCCCTAGGGTATATTCTTTCTCTCTCTTTGCATTCAAGGAAGCATATGTGTACAGCAGTACCCATAATTACCAAATAATTAAGCTGATGTCTCCTTTGCAGCCCATCCTGGGCCATCTCAAAGAGACTACATCTGCTTCACCGTAGCCACCTTGAAATTATCTTGATTGGTCGCTCCCAAGTGAGAACAAGAGAACACAGAGCATGGCGTTAGTATTTGCTCTGGCTGCTGTTGGTTTGGGGGGTTTTCCATGTAGGGTGGTTTATGCCTCTCTGCTGGCACAAGGCCATCTCTCTGCCTATGACATACTCTATGGCCCCATGTCATACCTCCCAGGCGGCCTTCTCCTGTCTGCTTGGCTCTTGCTACTTTACCCATTTGTGCAACATTGTTCAATCCACCAGAAAAACCAACCACTGGTGTTTAGAAGGTGCTTTTATGAGGTCAGAAAACTCAGGCAGTGCAATGTATTCTGTCAAACAATGCACCTATTTTTCATTTGGTTAATAAATCAAAATTGTGTGGGTATAGCAACAACTTTGACCTATAGCCTTGGGCTGAGATTATAGAGTAGCAGGTCTATTATTGAAGGAAGGCAGGGAATGTATGGTGAAAAGCAGAGGCCTGGGAGTCAGGAGACCTGAACTTACTCCTTACTTAACCTCACTATACCTCATTTTCCTCATCCACAGTATTTGTTCTTCCTACTTCTAGAACCCAAAGTAGTGATTTTGGAGTCTGGGCCTCAGACACTCACTAGCTGTGTGACCCGGGGCAAAATCACTTAACCTCAGTTTACCTCAGTTGTTTCAACAGGGAAATGGAGATATAATAGCACTTTCTTCTCAGGGCTGCTGTGAGGACCAAATAAGATAATATCTGCAAAATGATTAGCACTTTGTAAAGTGCCTAGCACACAGTAGGGTGCTTAATAAAATTTATTCATTTCCCTTCCACTGCCCCCTGGGGAAAGCAAGACAAAGCATGCCCTCAAGCAAGCATGAAACATAACCTTAAATAAAGTGTTTTTTAAGCACTCATTACCTTTCAGGTACTATAATATAAATAGATTTAGGGATACAAATAGAGCAAATGAAAGCATATGTCTAAGCTTACTTTTTCTAATGGGAGAGACAAGTACATATATAAGTAGATACAGAAAAAAACCCATAAATACAAAGTAGATAAATACAAGGTAGGGCACTAGCTGGTGGTGGGGTCAAGAAAGCGTTTGTATTGATCCCACTGTCTGCTAGTACCCAAGCCTGCAAGGAGCGCTTCTTGAAGGAAGAGAGGGAGTCCATGAGGCAGAGGAGATAAGGAAGGATGTCGTAGGATGGCATGGGGAACAGCCTGGCTGAAGACTTAGAGATGAGACACTGAGTGTTCTCTGTGAGGAACAGAGAGAAGGCTAGTTTGGCTGGATCATAGAATAAAGGGCGAGGAATAATGTATAATGAGGCTGGAAAGATAAGTTGGGGCAAGGTTGTGAATGTCTTTTTTAATTAATTTATTTTGATTTAGCAACAATCACTTCCATACGATTTTGAGTTGAAAATTTTTCTTCCTCCCTCTCTCCCCACTTCCCTCCCCAAGCAATCTGATATAGGCTATACATACACATTCCTATTAAACATATTTTCACATTAGTGATGTTGTAAGTAGGAATTAGAGCCAATAGGAGGAACTACCAGAAAGAGGAAACAAAGCACAACAGAAGAAAAAAAAATAGCAAATATTATGCTTCAATCTGCATTCAAACTCCACAGCTCTTTCTTTGGTTGTGTATAGCATTTTCCATCATGAGGCCTTTGGAGATGTCTCATATCGTTGCCTTGCCGAGAAGGGTTAAGTCTATCAATACTAGTCATTGCACAACATAGCTGTTACTATGTACAATGTTCTCCTGGTTCTGCTCACTTCACTCAGCATCAGACCATACAAGTCTTTCCAGGTTTTTCTGAAGTCTGCCTGTTCATCATTTCTTATAGTACAATAGTATTCCATTACATTCATATAGCACATCCACAGTTATGATTACTAACTGTGTCTTTCTATCCATCCTTTTTCTACCCTGTTTATGCTTTTCTTTCTCCTTTCTCCTTTTCCCTCCTCACTAATGTTTTGCTTTTGACCACTGCCTCCTTCAGTCCCACCTCCCTTCTATCCCTCCTCCCTTTTCTTTCCCCTTTACCTTCCTATTGCCTACAGGGCATGTTAGATTTCTATGCCTGATTGATTATGTTATTCCCTTCTTGAGCCAAATCTGATGAGAGTAAGGTTCAAACATGCTCCTCTCCCTCCCTTTTCTCTCTGCTGTAATAGGTTTTTGTGCTTTTTCCTGAAACTTAATTTACCCTTGTCTGCCTCCTTTCCTTTTCTCTCACTACATATTCTTAGTTGGATGAGATTAATTCATTTACTTGGATCCATTTAACCCACTTGATTAGATTTTTCTCATCATCATATTAAAGTCAATTTACACCCACTCCCTTTATGTATACCCCTTTAACATGGTGTAATAAAAATATAGTTCTCAGGAGTTAGAAGTGTCATCTTCCCTTGTAGGGATGTAAACCGTTTGCCCTTATTAATAACATGTTGTTTCTTACTGTCATGTTTACCTCTTTATGTCTCTCTTGAGTCTTGTATTGAAGATCAAATTTTCTGTTGAACTCTGGTCTTTTTATCAGGAAGGCATGGAAGTCTCCAATTTCATTGAATACCCATCTCCTCCCCTGAAAGATCATGCTGATTTTTGTTGGGTAGTTGATTCTTGATTGTAATCCAAGCTCCTTTGCCTTACAGAATATCATATTCAATGCCCTACACTCCTTTAAGGTAGAAGGTGCAAGGTCTTGTGTAATCCTGACTGTGGTTCCATGATATTTAAATTGTTTCCTTCTGGCTGTTTGCAGTATTTTCTCTTTGACCTGGTAATTTTGGAATTTGGCTACTATATTCCTTGGAATTTTCAATTTGGAATCTCTTTCAGGAGGTGATCAGTAGATTCTTTCTATGGCTATTTTACCTTCTGATTCTAGGACTTCAGGACAGTTTTACTTTATGATTTCCTGTAAGATACTGTCCAGGCTCTTTTTTTCATCGCGATTTTCAAAGACCAATAATTTTTAAATTGTCTCTCCTGGATCAGTTTTCCAGGTCAGTTGTTTTATCAACACAGTATTTCACATTTTCATCTATTTTTTCATTTTTTGTTTCTGTTTGACTGATT